CTGTTCATCCTGGCCTTGACACCTCCTAAAACAGCCATAAATTAAGTATTTTCAAACATATTGATTAGATATTTTGATTGAATGACTGTTACCAATGTGGGAGGGAAAGGAATTATACCATTCCCATTTTCCTTTACAAACAAGACTGTCTAAAATACGTGTAACACTATAACTGCTGCTAAGAAATGATGTAGATACAGACTTGACATTTAATATGGAATATTTGGTATCAGGACAATTCCCCCCCGGACAATTCCCCCCAAGGACAATTCCCCCCGGACGATTCCCCCCGAAGAATATATATATTTATATACAAATATAAAGTAAAGAGTACAAAGTTACAAGCTTTTCATCCATTTTCTGAATATTTCTTAGTGTGATGATACAAATAAAGGATAGATAATATTAATTTCATTAAACAAAATAATTTCATGGAATACAGTGCGGCTTTTGGAGGACGCAAACAGCACGTTGTAACTTTTCGACATGATCAACAGCCTGAGGAGTCTTTCTTAAAACTTGCATACGTTTCACATTTTCTTCTTTGTACGGGATCTTTGGTTTTCGCGTTACATTTTTAAAGAATATTTTCAGCAAAATTATTTTCAAAATTCACAACGGATTAGATATTCGGGTTTAAGGACTGGGCCTCGAACTGAGATTCTTTTGATTTCTCAATTTGAAATCGTAGTCACCAAAATGAGCAGCGTAATGAAGAGGCGTCCCGCCATCCTGGAGATATACACAATGCTTTTAATGAAGTGACATACCAGACACACACATATTGTATGAAATGTAAGTGGATTTTTAATAAAATGGGATGCACTGTTGATTGAATCAATCAAAATTATTTGACCTTCAAACAGCAGTGCCTCAAAGAGATAACATACTAGTATATCACAGCAGGTAAGGGAGATGATGTACCTGTAGATATTTAAACTTATGTGATATAGCATTTTTTAAGGAATATTTTCAGCAATTTAAAGCGTAAATCCAACTGTATTGTTCTTTATTTTGAAACTTCATAAAGGATTCGATATTTGGGTTTAAGGACTGGGCCTCGAGTAGAGATTCTTTCGATTTCTCAATTTGAGATTATTTTAGAGTATCAAAGATTAATTAAATACCGCAATTACTTTATAAATGTATCAATGATAATAATATTAAAAATACACAATATGTTAATGAAAAATATAAATTAAATATATTTAATTTCTGCGTATATAAAAAATAGACACTGATGATTGGGTTGTTTTTTCAAGCACCGCACATATACCTACAATGTCTTCACGGCGGGGATCAGCTCCGTGCTGGATGAGGAGAGTTACTGCATTGCAGTGACCAACTCTAGCAGCGCAATGAAGAGGCGTCCTGCCAAGCTGAAGATACACAATGTTTTCAATGAAGTGACATACCAGACAGACACATATTGTATGAAATGTAAATGGATCATTATAAAACGGGGAGGGGGGGGGGGGGCACTTTTAATTAAATGTATCAAAACTATTTTCATCTTTAAAAAACAGTGCTTAAGGAAGATGACATATACGCAAGCACGTAAGGAAGATTATGTAGATGTTGGTATCTATACTAATGTGTTGTTAAAGGAAAGGCTGCTAGCGTTTATCCCTTAATGCTTTATTAATATTAAGACCGTGTGTAATGTTGATGAAATATTAGCAGTTTTTAGTTATCAGTATTTTAAAGATATTCAATTACTTCGTATAAAACACAGACAAACTAAAGAAGGGGTGGTATATTTCAAGTATAACACACATATACATACCTTGTTAGTACTGGAGGGATCAGCTCCGTGCTGGATGAGGAGAGTTACTACATCGCAGTGACCACCCTCAGCAGCGTAATGAAGAGGCGTCCAGCCATACTGGAGATACACAATATTTTTAATGAAGTGACATACCAGACAGACACATATTGTATGAAATGTAAATGGATCATTATAAAACAGGGGGGGTCACTTTTAATTAAATGTATCAAAACTATTTTCATCTTTAAAAAACAGTGCTTAAGGAAGATGACATATACGCAAACACGTAAGGAAGATTATGTAGATGTTGGTATCTATACTAATGTGTTGTCAAAGGAAAGGCTGCTAGCGTTTATCCCTTTTAAGGGATAAGCATTAAAATACTTTATTAATATTAAGACCGTGTGTAATGTTAGCAGTAAATATTAGCAGTTTTTAGTTATCGGTATTTTAAAGATATTCAATTACTTCGTATAAAACACAGACAAACTAATGAAGGGGTGGTATATTTCAAGTATAACACACATATACATACTTCGTCTGTACTGGAAAGATCAGCTCCGTGCTGGATGAGGAGAGCTGCTACATCGTAGTGACCACATATAACAGCGCAATGAAGAGGCGTCCTGCCATCCTGAAGATACACAATGCTCTCAATGAAGTGACATACCAGACAGACAAGTTTTATGAAATGTAAATGGATCATTATAAAACGGGGTGCACTGTTAATTAAATGTATCAAAACTATTTTCATCTTTAAAAAACAGTGCTTCAGAGAGATGACATATGCACAACAGAACGTAAGGAAGATTATGTAAATGTTGGTATCTTTACTTATGTGTTGTTGAAGGAAAGACTACTGACGTTTATCCGTTAATGCTTTATTAATATGTGTATTAACGTGTGTAATGTTGATGAAATATTAGCAGTTTTTAGTTATCGGTATTTTAAAGATATTCAATTACTTCGTATATAACACAGAAAAACTAAAGAAGGGGTGGTATATTTCAAGTATAACACACTTATACATACCTTGTCAGTACTGGAGGGATCAGTTCCGTGCTGGATGAGGAGAGCTGCGGCATTACAGTGACCACACAAAGCAGCGTAATGAAGAGGTGTCCAGCCATCCTGAAGATACACAATGTTTTCAATGAAGCGACATACCAGACAGACAGATATTTTATGTCATGTAAGTGGATTTTTATAAAATGGGATAAATGTTAATTGAATAAATCAAAATTATTTTGATCTTCAAACAGCAGAGCATCAAAGAGATGATATTCTAGTACATCACAGCAGGTAAGGGAGATGATGTACATGTTGATATTTATACTAATGTGTTATTGAAGGGAAGACTGCTAACGTGTATCCTGTAAGGCCGTGCGTAATGTTGGTATATATTAGGTTTTTTGTTATTTCAAAGATATCTGAGGTGTCTTTCTTAAAACTCGAATACATTGCAAAATTCCTCCTTTGTAGGGCCTACGGCTTCTTTGGTTTCGGTTTACATTTTAAGGAAGATAATTTAAAGTGTAAAATCCAACTGTAGAGTTCTTTGATTTGAATATTCACAAATGATTCGATATACGGATATAAGGACTGGACCTCGAATTAAGATTCTTAGATTTTTCAATATGAGATTATTTAAGAGTATTAAAGATTAATTACATGCCGCAATAGGTTTATTCACGTATCAATAATAATTTTTAAAAAACATAATATGTTAATGCAAAAATACATTAAATACAGGGTTACTACTTAATGTGGAATATTATTTTTTGGCCAGTAAATTGTCTACAAAATATTTATTTTCTCTCTAACTTCATTAAATCCAAAATTGAGGTGTCACTCCATATGTAGCTAGGTGTGTTACCTAATTGCCACACAACTCTCGAAACAATTGATGCATGCAGTTGCATGTTCTGTGGTCAGAAATGTGAAGGGTGGTCTTTTCGGCAATTTCTGCTCTTGTATAAAAACGCATGGGTTTGGCCAATCTTTGGCGTGTAATTACAGAAGCAATCGCTCTGAAACTTGACAGGTACCTTGGAGAAGATATGGTTCAACAGCTGAGCAACGCAGCTTACAATAGGATTATTGCTCTTAGACAAAATGGCCAGAAACGGACAGCCGTTGCCAGGCAATGAAACATTTATCAGGAACCGTTAGTAAAGTCCTCCAAAGTAATGCTACAACAAAAGCACCTGCTCCAACACCTCGGCCAGGGTGTCTGCGTATCATAACAAAAAGACAGGATCGCTTTCTACTTAGAGTTAACCGTGCTGGTCGTACAAAGACAAGCAGTGTCCTCAGAAAAGAGTGGCAGAATGTCATTCAAACGCCCGTTTCAAGGTCCCTCGTGAACAAGAGATTACTGCAAGCCGGTTATTTTGCACGAAGACCAGTAGAGAAACCACTGTTAACAGCAGGTCATATACAGCGACGTTGGCAAAGGGCTGGGGATTACGTGCGTTTGCAGCCAAAACACTGGAATCACGTCGGTTTGCGGCGATGAGGCCGGATATGGAGTTTATAGGGTTGACTGTCAAATCCGTGTCCGCCGACGTGTACAAGAGGCAAAAACGATGATTATGTGCTACCTAGGGTGCAAGAAGGGGATGGTAACATTTCTGTTTTGGGAGCATTTCATGCCGTTGCCCAGAACCAGTTGGTTTTTCTGGGAGGCAATCTCAACCAGGGTTCCTACAGAGACATTCTACAGCAAACAATGCTTCGATTTGTACGAGTCATTTCAGGAACAACTTTGTGTACCAAGACGACTGCGCAACCCCACATCGAGCTCGCAGAATCACTGTTTTTCTTCAAAACCGATAGGTTCAACAACTGCCCTGGCCTGCAAACTCTCCAGATATTAACCCAATTGAAAATATGTGTGCGGAAGTAACTCACAGAATTAATAACTATGGTCATCGGCCGATAAAGAGTGATGAACTGCGACAGGCAAATATCACTGCGTGGAATGATATCCCCATCCAAACTGTAAAAAACCTGTCACAGGGTATGCCATGTAGGATGAGGGCGCTGCAAGCGGCTGCTGGAAGTCATACCCGCTATTGATGCCTTTTCATGATTTACTGTAATGAGTTCTTTGACTGGGTAACATATCACTGTCCGGAGGCTATCATTTTCTTTAATATTTGAGCTTAAAATTAATATTGACATCAAACTGTTGATATGGTTTTCTGGGGGTGTTCTTTTCTTTTGAATGCCATCTTATGTCAGATTTGATATTATTGACCAAAATATCTCACAATTGAAGACTGGATATTTTTATCACTCAATGACATACTTTTTTGATGGGTCAAGCCAAATAAATTTTAATAAGCACTCAAAAATAACAATGATAAAAAAATTCCAAATTAAGTAGTAACCCTGTATATTTGATAACTACGTATGTAACAAAGAGAGACTTAAGAGGTTTTATTTTCAAGTGTCAAATCGAACTTATAAGTTTTTTTGAAAATTCACAAATGGTGTTATACACGGATTTAAGGACTAGAATTTGAATTAAGATTCTTTTGATTCCTTAATTTGAGATTATTATTAAGTATGAAGTATAAATTACAAGTCACAATCGGTTAACACACATTTCAAAAAGAGTATAAAAACCCACGTGTAATGTTAACGGACGAAAATGCATTTTAAACAATTAAAAACTACTTGTGTAACGCAACCAAACTAAAACGTGTACATTTCAAGCACCATGCATATACATGTACCTTCAGTGCAGTGCTCCACGCGCTCTGTACAATGTTTGCGAGGCATGTTACTGTGTAACTATTATCAACTATTATCAATTTCCAATTACTGCCTTTTTATTCATATCAGTAGCAAATTCTCAATATGCTTTGCATGCTCATTTTTGGCAATACTTACAAGTCCACCCCATCCACCCATGTCTGTCCTCTCGTTTACATAGTATATTTGACTTTCTAGCAGGCGACGCTCTTTGTCGATATCTCCTACCTCTGCAGCGTCGTGGAGAGGGGACGACATCGTGAGTGTGCCTTAACGAGATGCAGCCACTGGGCAGGACTATTCACCTGAGATACGGTTTGTTCAGCTGACCTGGAGTTACAAGTTCACACAATATGAACTGGGTATATGATAATGTTTATATAGTTTTCTTTAAAAGATTCCAAATATGCATCTCTTAAAATATGCATCTCAGTGTACTTACTAGTATCACCCTGTTTTTAACATGTACCGGTAGTTACCGGTAATGCTACACTGTAGCAGGTGATCTTGTACGCTACTCTAGCTCCCGCCAATATAGTTAAACGATTTTAAATAGCTCCGTGTGCAATGGCCTGACTAGGTAAACTAGGTCGTTTTACGTCGTTGGCCTCAATAATGTAGATCGCCATATTGTAGATGATCGGATGTCTTTACGCCTTCTAAGTTCGTGAAACATGTAACAGTTTACACTGTGTGTTATATCCTATCTATGAAATGCTGCGTTTTATACATTTATATATGCTATTTAATTCAAAGTGATATCTTATAATTATTTAAAACACTGGGAGTACCATTGTCTTGAGGCCCTACCTACCTTTCTGTTTCACTATCGATATAGATGACGTCAAGGGGAATCCCCATCGAAATGGAAATTTCCAGGTTTCCAATTAGATTGAAAAAAGGCTTGATTTGGGGTTTGATAAAAGGCTCCGATTAAGGACAATTTATCTTTATCGGGTATGAATTATTACTTGCATCATTATTAATGTTGTGAGGCTGAAGACAAGACCAACCTTTCAATCCCAAATTATTTGTATATTCACTAGTATTTTAAAGACACAACAGTAGAGCTTAATTAACGCGCCTTATCTATATTACATTATGTGTACATATGTAGACAGCCATTTATGGTTTGGTTGATACAGTAGATAAGCTTGTTATCGTTTTCATTTCGAGTTTTTCACTGGCGTGTTTATCCTTTACCGCGGTGTGTCGCCATTTTGTCTAAGATCGAACTTTATATACCTGTATTTCATAACGGCTTGATAGTTAGTGAATAGTGTTGCAATTAACATTGCGAGTCCGATCCTCATATCTACCAAATACAGTTATTAATTTAACCAACATTATGGTCAGATTGATGTCGTACAATTATGTAAAATATAAGAAAAGTTTTTAGGCTCCACTCACCTTCTTGGTCCCGTATCGATCTGAATGACGTCACAGGGGAAGCCCCCTCGAACCAAACTTTTTCCGAATATTAAAAAAGTCGTTTCCTTATCCGGTGTGTATTTTTATCGGGATTTTTATGTAAATGTTAAATAAAGTCAAAAGACTGCATGATTGATTCGCTCTTTTAATATGGGTGGTTTTCAGGTCCGAAATGGCGTCACATAGTCAACGTTTTTTTATGTTATCACCGCTGCTTCTTTGTGCAGCTGTAGGACACCTATGTCGAGTTTTCTAACATTAAGAAATTTGCTCTATTACTGATATACTGATGTGACTTATTTGTAATATACCATGTTAAATAAATGAAATAAAATAATGCACAATATGGATCACTAGTGAAAAATTGAAAAAAAAAAGATAAAAAAGACAAAGTAGAATTAAATAACATAAAAGAGCTATGAACACTCACGTGGGGCCCTATTTTCGTAAAGTTATTGAAGTAATTAAATAAGAATTTTCCAGTTTTCTTAGACCGGGTTACACAAATTGAAATCGATGAGATTTATGCTGGTCGTTACATGCTGGAATAGCATCTGTTTTTTTTCGTTCTAGCAATTCGCCGTATATGTTTTTGTTCGGAGTGAACGGTCACATGCAGCTTCACGAAGAAATACTACTTTTGAGCGATTTTTTTTAATTTGAAAAGTTATCTCTAACATTAGCACAAAGCTGTCTGGAATGGAAAGATTCAAACCAAAAATGAACTTATCCTCTGTGCAGTGAACTGCAAAGAAATACTCAATATTATATGATATTCAAATGATGATCTTAGCGGGTATATAATTAATTAAAAGCAAAGCATCAGCATTATTAATTTAAAAACAAATCAGAATTAGTTGAATGAAGAAAAGTGGATATCGTGAATACCGCACTGCATACGTTTATCAAACAGGCGTACAAAGATTCATGAAACTCAGATTAAGTCTACATGTCATACAAATAAGCATATACACATTGACTTTAAAACACGGAAGAAAATGTAGTGGTTACATGCACATGACCCCCCCCCCCCCCCCCCATATTACACGTGCGTTGCGATAACAAACACAGGCCATAGAAAAACGAGACATTTTCCTTAGCAGTATTTATAACAGTGAAATGCACACAGCGCCCCTTTTATTAAGTTCAAACGCACAGCGCTGGTTAAATCGCCTTTTATACGGCCAACCTAGCACAAAGAAGGCATTATTTGGGTTTGTGTATTTTACTATTTTCCAGAGGGCGTTGTGATTGGGCTACACGTTTGCCTGGCGGAAAAATTACTAGAGAAAGGACATTGAAAGAGCTGAATAAACCACATTTACTATAATTAAACAACATCAGCCAATATATCAAAACAGATAAAACTGATAAACCCACTCGCTCGAAAACCCTTCATCTCTTCGACCGTGCTCGCGGATTATCGGAGCGACCCGAGGTTGTTGCTAAGCGTTGCTAGGGTAAACTGGAGGCTCGCATGGCGGCCTCGAGGTCGCATTGTTATTAAGCAGTGTTGGCAAACTTTGGCGATAATGAGTCAACCGCTGTACAGAGAAGGGCACTAAGAGCTATGGAGACTTGGTCAACTAACAGGTGAGTACTGGACAGTGGACGGCTGGTGTTAGGACCACGGGTTTAAACCACGAACAGCGTGTATTACACAGCAGTGTATGCGGCCGTGTAGTCATAGATGTAGCTATTTGTTCCATAGGGTTTGAATGTAGGGGGATAACGGATTTTTCAAAAGGGATATTAGGCTAATCTGACGCCTTCACATGCACGCGATGGGTACTTCATAGTTCCTCGAAGGAGAGATACATAGACGTGGCTGTATTTTGTTCAACTAAAATGTTCTTTTCTTTGGCCAGGACGAAGTTAACTTAAATGTGGGCCTATTCATGTTTACTGGGCCTACAGCTGCATTTACAACTACACAGGGTAGACCTACATAAACAGCTTACATACAAATGTATAGCCCGTGTTTTTCAAATGTCATTAACAGTCCACTTGGAATGCCATACTTCAGTCAGTTCAGTTATAATGGTAGTAAAACCAGGGTCGGTTGTCACACTGACTCGTTTTATTTGTCATTATGTAATCCTTGGTCGATTGGAATAGGAGCAGTAGATGTGGAACGATGTCCTCCTTATCTGATGCTGTAGGGGGTGGGGGGAGAGAGAGGGAGAGAGGGGTAAGAGTGGAGAGTGGCTCTTAATGAAAAGCCGTGACAAAGGAGTGGGAATGAAATAAACCTCCTGGATTTGAACTTAGAGAAAATACGCCAAACTTTAAGGAACCTCCATCACGCTCAGACAGAGGAAAGGTGGACACATGTTACTCCCTAAATTTTTGAGGCGCCCCTTCTCCCCCTTTCTCCCCCTTCTCACTCTCTCAAAGAAAAAAAAGATAACAAACAGAGCGAAGAAAAATGAAGGATTTATCTCTGTTCCCTCCGTATTAAAAATAACCTGTTATCGTTTACAGTTTTAATCATTGTTTTTTCCTTGTGTTTCCCCATTAGCAAAATGCTGGATCTGTCGATGTGTCAGTTAGCAATTTTTCAAATATTCATCAATTCAAGTTACTCAGCTGTCTTTTCAAAACTTTTAAATCACTTCCTTCAGATTAAATTAGGGAAATTTTATAAATCAATATTCTGACCGAATTTAGCGAGTATTTACCGTACGGAGTTGTCGGTTGTTAGGGATTATCGAGCAAGGATAAAACGACACAGTTTTATCAACCAGGATGGTCGTTCACACAGGCTTAGGATAATCTTAAATCAAAACCATAATATGAAGATTACTGCAATGTTGATTTAGCGATCGATCAGAGTTTGTACAGAGGAGACGGGCATCAGTCATAGCGGTGAGGTCGGTCCAATGTTCAAGATGACACAGATAATATAGATGTGTCTAAAACAGTACATTGGTGAGCCTAGAGCAATGATAAAAAATGATGCCTCGGTCCAATCGTAGACTAAGGAAAAGCCATGTGGATTATATACAGGTAAAAATGCTCTGCGTTAATGTATACCTGTAATTTCTCCATATACACGCAATTCATCGTCATCTACCTTAGCCTGATATCACTATGATAAGGCTGTAGTGACAGTTGAAAGCTCGGTCTTTCAAATGCAGAAATGAAGGAAGTAAAGGTAAAGAAATAACATGTCGCTACGTTCGGTAATATGAAATGGTAAACGAGGATAAATTTACTATAATACATGTATGTAGGGCAAAGGAAGGGAAAGCGGTTGGTTTTTTTTCACCTGTTAAACTTTTTTGAAATGTGTAGGATGGAAAGGATGGATAAGGATGCCTCTGAAGTTAAAGAGGGGGATGTGTTCCACTATATGCCCCACTGCTGTCGTTAATAATATGGAGCTGGGTGCCCATAAAGAGCACGTCTTTCACATCAGGTTTCACCTCAGTCTAAAGCTTATGGTGTTATATTATAATTTAAGAATGGGCTATTTTGACCCATGATAGTTCACTGTTAGTACATTTAAATAAATAAATAAATAAATAAATAAATAAATAAATTTCAATCGTAGGTTAGTGAACCACTAAACATCTATAACGAACACTAAAAAAGGATTATGCTCTCCCGATTGCAAGCGCCAAAAATATTCACAGAATTATCAAAAAGTCGAAGTAAAAAAATTAAAACCTCCCAGAGAGAAAATTTGTTGTTGCTTTTCTTCAATGGTTAAATATTTTACTTTAGTTTCTCCTTTTTTCCTTCCCACACAATAGAGTTGTTAGAGGGTTAAATATAATATTATTTCTGTTATTGTTTGGCCATTGAAAATATAGTCAAAAGACTCGTCTTAGGTTCTCGTTTATAGAATAAGTGTAATAATATTGTTTTTATTATAAAAAAAAAAAACGTTTCTTAAGTAATTATTTGTTCTCGACCTTCTTTAATGACATTACCGGTTGGAGAGGATGACTTGTCGGGAAAAAGAAACAAAACTACAAAAATGAAAACAAACAATAAGAGATTGAACACAATTGCGAAGAATAAACGCCGTCGATGTCGTAACAACCAAAACTAAACAATACTAAACACAGCTTTATTGGCCGTTAAAACTGCTACATACAATATTAAGAAGTCCCTGAACTTAACCGTGATCTCAGAACTTGCACAATTATTTCTTAATATTTGAACATTTTAAAGCTCGTTGGCAAAAACAACAAACAACATATCAACGGAGAGTTCGCTTCAAAAGGTTGAAATCAAAGACGAACACCTGTCATTGTGAGAGCAACTTAACCTATTATTCATTGTACTGTTCGACCGTGTAAGAAAATTTAACACGGAGTTTAACAAGCACAAATATCAATAAGCGTTCAAAATATTTGATATCAGAGGGCATTAACACGACTACGTTTGAGAAGAATAAGGAGTTGGAGGAGAAAATACCCTTTCGATGAGTTTGGTGTAACAACGGCTTAAAAAGAAAACCGAAGATCCGTGTCGAGTGTTAAAATAAAGTTAAAAGAAAAAGACAGTCAAGCTTAAGAAAATGTCTAATCCAATTCAATCAGTTTTAACTATGTAACAGAAAAAGAAAGAGATTCAATTTCAACAGCATTGAAAAACGTATTTCGTGTCGGCTTTCAAATTGAAATGTTCACCCGATCCTTACTTTGTATATGCCCAGGTTATTTGTCAGTTGTTTTGGTGTGTCTATGGGGGTTTAAACACAGCTTTAACTAAAACCGGTGTAAGGTTTATCTCAAGCCGTAGACGCTTTAAAGATTTAGCTCCCGCAAAGGGTTTTGTAGATTGTAATTTTCTCAGCGTTTTTTTTCTTTACTGGTGTGCCGTACTGATAAACGATAATTACTTAAATTTACAGGATTGTTTTCTTTTTAAGGTCTAACACTATCTTTGTGACTTAAAGATGCATACAAAGTCAATTTTTTGTCACAAAAACCAACCAAATGCCAGCATATAGTTTCAAGTAGTATAACTAAGAGAATTACCAAAAGGCATTGTTTAATTTTACTCGAAAATGATGTTTGAACAGATTTTTCTGCTGGCATTCTAAGCTGTATGTCAATGGGGTAGGAAAGTAGGTCCCTGAAGTAGGTTAAATTTACAACCATAAATTTAAAGAAAGGAGCAGTCTAAAGGTCTTTTATGGCTGATCGAGTGATCTATTCAGTTTATCCCTTGGCATGTCGAATTTATTTGAGCCTTATAAGAATCTAGTAGAAGTGGTTTACATGTGTTACTGGGAATCCACACTCCACCGATGCTCGGTTCGTATGTACCTTTAACCGTTGCCACCATTTACCTTTCACTTTTCATTTTTACGGTCAAGAGTAACAATTTCAAGACTTAAGAACGAGAAACTCGAGGACCTTATCCCCCCCCCCCCTAGGTCCACCGGTATTGACCGCTGATAGTTCCAAGCAGTCGTGTACAACTGTACTTCCTTTTGCTAGTCTATCTATTTTTATTAATGTGATGTTAAACCGTACCCATGACATCAAAGTCTTCCCCTTTCATTGTGTCAGAAAACACGCTCATCTGACCTAATTGAATATAGCATGTTTCAAGTAGCAATACGACATGAACTCTGCAATGATTACATAAAAGAGAATTATTTAATTTTATTCGATATTTTATAACAGGTGGTGAACTATCGATCTAGACCTGTTTGTTACGTCACGGGAGATCAATTTGCACCTCTGAGTTTATAAAGAAAAAAAAAGATAAATAAATAAATAAATAAATGAAGCTAGAGTGCTTGAATATACTAGTACGCTAATTTTTTTCTAGACACTACTTCGTTCATATTTTTATATAGCTTATTTTTGGTATACTTCCAAATCTTTACGCCGCTTATTGATAAATTCCTAAGCAATTCGGCTGTGCATTACGTCGACTTAATGAGCATGACTTAAATCTCGCAGGAAGGATTTCATGTATTTCCAGCAAGGCCTTGTCGAAATGAAAGGACTATTACAAAAAATCAACCTAATTCGTCATGGAAGTAATATGTGTGTAATTAAGATACCTGAGCATTTAAAATTCAACGCAGGCAAAACTTTGGCAGGCTTTTACAGCTCACAACGCACTGTTTTTGGTGCTTACACATAATGAACAACTAAATAATTCCCTGTGTTGGTAAAACAAATTCAAACGCCTTTATTTTATAAGCACCCGGAGTCTAAGCTCTTTCATAAATAACTTCAACCTTGGAGTTAGCGCGAATTCGGCAAACATTTCTACAATAATCAACACATTACATATGTACATGCCAAAGACAGAAATAATGCAGACAACTTGTTTTAAATTCTGTCCACAACTTAACAGCCAGTGTTTTTTTGGGACTATATTTGAACATCAAACAGCCTCCGGTTGACTTGGAATGGTCGTTAATTTAAAAGCGTTGCACAGTTTTCTCGATCGATACGTGTTCAATATTTACACATTGACATTTTGAATACGATTTCTTTTTAGGGGCAAAGGAGACTTACTGGCTGAGATTTACTAATCAATATTTGTCCAATGTGTTCTCTTTGAATAGGCACGGAGAATGTTTAATTTTCCCCGAAGCAATTAACCGCCTCGTCGGTTGAGTTTCCGATTATTTTATATTCAGAATTGTCAGTCTCTAGTTATTATCCATTTATATGTTGGATAGTGGAGTTTACTTATTTTTAAAATATGTTTGAATAAGAGAAATAAAGTTGTAACTAGAAGACAAAATAAAGGTGGTGGCAAAACAATAAGATCTTATTTTCAGAACAACTAGTCTGCATAGTTTTAGTTTTTCAATCACCGTGTTGGGTAAAGCACTTTATCTTTTAAAATACACATTTGGATAAGAGTAGAAATGAAGTTTTGAGTAGTGTGATAATTGAGAGGATGGCAAAACCATCGGGACTTTTTCATATTAAAAGGAAAATGTATACAGAGCCAGTTTGATAACCAGTGTTATATCGTAGGGCCTATATCTATATGCTGTATAGTATGGTTCGGTGTGACATGGAAAAAAAGTATGTTAAACATCAGAATAAGAGATAGGATGGCCATTAACTGGATAAGAGAAAAGACCAAAGTGAAGGATGTGCCACTTACAATTTAAGAAATGAAATGTACAGGACAGGATATATCAGTAGAATCAAATATGACAGATGGACAGCAAGATATGTATATTAGATCAGATTAGATAAGCGTTGATTTCCAATTCAGGTTCCTACTGGATCCTCTTTAATGGACTCTTCCTCCAAAACTAACTTGTGACTTCCGATGATGTTGATTTCGGACCTATAATTGTCATATTTGAGTTCCTGGTCATCCCACCACTTGTCTAATCTGTTCTTAAAAGAGTTGAGGCTTTTTGTCTTGACAACTTGATCGGGCAGGCTATTCCATATTTGTGTTGTACGCACAGTGAAGCTGTATTTTCTCAAGTCTAATTTGGCTCTTTGAGGGAAAAGCTTGAAACAATTTCCTCTATTACCAGACCTATGTGAATGACTGGACCATAATTTGATAAAATCTCTAGTTGATTCGTCGTATCTCCCAGTGACTAGTTTATACATCTCAATCATGTCCCCTCTCACCCTCCTATAGCTAAGTGTTGGTAGCCCAAGTTTACGTAACGTATATATACATAGGAAACAAGGGGAGCCTTGTATGAGATGGAGGGATGAATTAGACCAGTACGAAAAAAAAATTGGAAGTGTGAAGCCCAAGGCAAAATACACTGGAAGAAGCTTGCTAGGGCCTTTGACCTACAATGGAGCACTTTAGTGTTTAAACGACGATGATGGTGATTCGGCGTGAGGCTTGAAATATGGAGAAACAAGAAGAATAATTTTCCTTTTTGTAAGATTATGAATCCTAGGCACTGCCTTGGATAGTTACACGTCTCTGTTGATAGATAAAGAAATTATAGATGGTGAATATTAGGAGCAGTGAGACAGGAAGACAAAAAAAAAAAAAATAATAATAATAATAATGGGATAAACTATACCAAGATTAAACGGAGGCTTCAGTTTTTGTTGAATTTTTAAATGATATTATAAGAAAAATGAAAATGATATCGACTTTTTTGCATTTTTAAAACAAGTCAAACAAGTTCATAAATAAATAAGTAAATATATAAATAAATAAATGAATAAATAAATAAATAACCTCATCTTAGTCTCTGGATATAGGCTCTACTGTAAAACACGTCACGTCTCTGTAGCGTAACGCACTGAATACAAATATTTCAAACGTTACGTCGACCAAAACGTCATAATAAAAGGTCGGCGTATTTATTACGTCACATTCGTTCTCCATAGTGGTTTTCAACGGTAAAAACGCGAAATGCGGTCAGGAAGGTACGTGTTTGAATGGGGCTTAGACTCTTGGCTTGTATATGTAAAGAATTCTAGATTTTTGCCGTGTTGTAAATTGTAACTGAAAAGTTTTGATAGGTTGTTGAATACGGGTAGGTGTTTATTATTCAGGGAATGGTAGGCCTACACATTATTTTTTTCCCTGTGTTATTACTTGGGCCTACTCTATATTTGAAATAGGTGGGACTTATTGGTCCTAATGATCATGTAGGACCTATGCATTAGGCCTGTAGAGTCCTATTTTGTATTATACACATATTTATATTTTTTTGCAAATTAGTTTATTAATTTTCTATTCGGGTGAATTGAACATACACGCATATTAGCATGTACCCTATACCAGGGCCGCAGTTATTATTGTGGAAAGTTTTGCTGACTGAGAGCCAAAATGACTGTCTATTTATCTATAGACATATCTGTGAATATCTGAGGAAAATCAATCTGTTGCCCTGGTAGAGGGTAATTAACATGTAGGCCTACCGGGGAGTGGAAAAAATACCTTATCGTGTTAAGATATATATATATATATATATATATATATATATATATATATATATATATATATATATATATATATATATATATATATTTTTTTTTTTTTTTTTTTTTTGTTTTTTTCACTCCTTTAATTTTTTTTTTGTTTTATTTGTATTGTTNCTCTGGATATAGGCTCTACTGTAAAACACGTCACGTCTCTGTAGCGTAACGCACTGAATACAAATATTTCAAACGTTACGTCGACCAAAACGTCATAATAAAAGGTCGGCGTATTTATTACGTCACATTCGTTCTCCATAGTGGTTTTCAACGGTAAAAACGCGAAATGCGGTCAGGAAGGTACGTGTTTGAATGGGGCTTAGACTCTTGGCTTGTATATGTAAAGAATTCTAGATTTTTGCCGTGTTGTAAATTGTAACTGAAAAGTTTTGATAGGTTGTTGAATACGGGTAGGTGTTTATTATTCAGGGAATGGTAGGCCTACACATTATTTTTTTCCCTGTGTTATTACTTGGGCCTACTCTATATTTGAAATAGGTGGGACTTATTGGTCCTAATGATCATGTAGGACCTATGCATTAGGCCTGTAGAGTCCTATTTTGTATTATACACATATTTATATTTTTTTGCAAATTAGTTTATTAATTTTCTATTCGGGTGAATTGAACATACACGCATATTAGCATGTACCCTATACCAGGGCCGCAGTTATTATTGTGGAAAGTTTTGCTGACTGAGAGCCAAAATGACTGTCTATTTATCTATAGACATATCTGTGAATATCTGAGGAAAATCAATCTGTTGCCCTGGTAGAGGGTAATTAACATGTAGGCCTACCGGGGAGTGGAAAAAATACCTTATCGTGTTAAGATATATATATATATATATATATATATATATATATATATATATATATATATATATATATATATATATATATATATTTTTTTTTTTTTTTTTTTTTGGCGATTCTAGACTCGTCAATTGACTTCTTGCAGTATCTGGACGTATAATTTAAACAACTTTCATTATTATTTCAGGAATTACAGATTTGAAAATGACGAGATTTAAAAAGAAAAATAAACACTAACATGGCTACCATAGCAACAGCCAGGAAAAACGTGGAATTACTCCGAAAAGCTGGAAGACATCAGTCCACCGACAACGACGGCGCAAGGCGGTTAGGCACCTCGAGAGCATTTTTCGGGCGACAAGGCCGTCAAGACAGAGATGACATCAGCGTTGCTGATTCAGGCATTTCGTCCGGATATTCAGACCGTACATCATCGGCTGGAACCAGGGTTCGTGCATCATCGGCTATTTCCGGATTGTCTGGTTCACCGCCGAGGTCGGGACCGCCCATTGCTAATATAGGATTTTGTGGCGCGAGACATCCGCATCCCGAGCGTCTGCCGTCGGCGAAATGCCGCCGGGAAAAGGCAGTGACATTGCGCATTTTAGACGTAGAAGAGGACACTATTATGAACGTGCAGAGGTTGCGCGAGCACTTGAAGCGCCTCGACTTAAACAGTATACGCTTAAACTACATTCCAAATGAACTTCTAGAAGGTTTAACGAAACTTGAGAAGTTAGACGTCGGTTTCAACATGCTGGAAGACGAGTCGAGCTTTCCCGACTCTCTACAAGAACTGGAGAAACTATTAGAACTACGGCTCAACAATAACAAACTGAAGCGCATGCCCACTTTGTTGCGGAAACTTAGACGCTTGACCCGTCTAAACGTAGGTTGTAATGAAATGGAAGAAATTACGGGGATCGAGAAATTAAGGCGGATGATCTGCTTGGTGCTAAGCTACAACCGTTTCCCCAGTGTGATCAAGGAGGTGCTACCGTTAAAGAGACTCGAGGTCTTGCAGTGCAACGGCAACTGCGTCACCGAAATTCCCAGAGATATTCGGCACATGAAAAATCTCCGCGAGCTGGATATTTCTGACAATAAAATCACGTCGCTGCCACCTGAAATATTTCTCCTGGCAAACTTAGAAGCTCTTAACGCCAGTGGGAACCAGATTCAGCGGATCCCATCGTTAAATATCAGAGGGCGTCCCAAACACAGGGTATACTCCATAGATCTGTCGTTCAATCTAATATCAAAATTCCCGGAACACTTATTATGGATGGTGGATCGCCTTGATCTGAGCTCTAATAAGATTAAGACGCTGCAGGGCAGCGTTATTAAGAAGTTGGATTTTGAAGGCGAACAGTGGTTGGATGTGTCTGACAATCCTCTTCAGGCACCGCCCGCAGACGTGGCCGATGGAGGACTTAGGTCAATAATTCAGTTCTTCCGCGAGGAGACGGCGCGGACCACGATGTACCAGGGTTTTCGCGCGCTGGTCGTCGGGCACCAGTCGTCAGGGAAGACGAGCCTCGTGCAATCTCTAGTCGACCAGCTTCCCCGCCTCACCGACGAGCACGAGAAGACGATAGGGCTGGAGATCTTCGACATGCCGATGGAGGTCCAGGAGGAGGAGCAAGACGAAAACGGAGAGGTGCAAACGGCGTCCCGTCCGATCAACGTGACGTTCTGGGACACGTGCGGCGCGCAGTCGTACATGTTTCCTCACCACGTTCTCCTGGATCAACCCTACCTCGCCATCTTGGCTTTCAACTTGGCCGAGTACACCGCGGATAAGTTCTACGCTCTGATTGGCTCCTGGGTGGACTGGATGATCTCCCGGTCCAATCAGATCAACCTGCTCGTCGTCGGAACCCACCTCGACCGAGTGAAGCCGAAGAAGGCCGAACAGATATGCGCCGACGTCCAACGGAAATTGGACAGACTGGTCACGGATCACACCGACGCGATAGCGCAGGAGATCAAGCGCATCACGGACATGCCGGTAATATCACCGTCGCTTTCTGAGTACTTGAAGAAATGCCGCGAGTGGCTTCGCCTGAAGGTCAACATCCACAGCGAGGTGATTCCCGCCAGCTCGGCGACCATGGACGGCCTAGAGGAAGTTCAGGCGGCCATCGAGAAACTCGGCACCAACAAGGATCTCTTCCCGTACATTCTCCGTGTCGTTCCGACCCTGTGGTTGGACGTTGAGAATTACGTAGAGGAGAAAGGGAAGGACATGCTTCTCCCTTTCATGGCCTGGGAGGCGTTCGAGGAGGAGCTCGGAGACAAATTCGGAATGAAACACCTCATGCCAAGTATAGGCGTGTACCTGCACCAAATTGGGAAGATTCTGTGGTGGCATGAAGATCCCCTGTTGAAAAAATACGTCTTCCTTCGCCCTTCGTGGCTCATGGATGTTCTCCGTGAGCTGTTCCGACATGACTTCAAAGACTTTGTGCAATACGAAAGCAACGACTATATACGGCTGCTGGGGATACCGCAATTTAAGTTCGACCGCTTGAAGAGGGAGCTTCTCAACGAAGGGATTCTTGAGAGGGACTTCGTTAAGCTACTGTTGGGAGACGTTGTTCCCATAGAAGGGGGTCAGAAATTGAACGAGGTGCTTTTAATTCTGTCCGAACACTTCAATTTACTGTACCCTATTCGCAAGACGGGTAAAGAAGGGACGTGGCTCAATCCCGATCCCGTTTCTGAAGCACTCACGGCGAGGAGCGAGAAAAGTGAGGCGAAGAGCGATGCGAAGAGTGACAAGAGCGTCACGGAGGAAGCCAAGAAGTCCAAACTCCGCTCACACAACCGGTTCTTGGTCCCATACTATCGTCGAACGCCGCAATCGGACGTTTTCACGGAAGAGTTCGACGTGCTGAAGGACTTTCACCGTGCTGCTGTCATGTACCGCTTTCCAAAGTACATCCCGCCGGGTCTCTTCGAAAAACTGTGCGTGCGCATGCGCGATCCTAAACTGGGACTACAGTTCTTACGTCACTGGGGCACGGGTCTGTACGGGAGGCACTTGGACAAACCCGTGCGTTTTCACGTGTCTCTGGCCATGGTCGGACAGCGAGGAAAAGGCGAAGCAGACGACGATGACGAAGACGAGGGGATCGACGATGGTGGGAAGACGCCTTCACACGTGTCGGCGTGGGACTATGCTTGTCCTCACCGCGGGGCGGAGTTAAGGCTGGAAGTGAGGTTTGAGGAGCCAATGGAGAGGTACAAGGTGTCCAAGCTGTGGACCGTTCTGTTCACCATGATCCAAAGTGTCGAGAAAATGTTGCAGTCACTGCATGGTGAGTAGCTTGCGACGGTGAACGGTGGTCACTTCCTACGACCCCAAAGGCTCTCTCTCTCTCTTTCTCTCTCTCTCGTTAACGAGCTAACACATGCTTACTCTATATATTTCATCAATTTTCGTTACATGAATTTCATTTATATTTGTGAGCGCATGGTGTAAGTTTAAGTAAGATCTGGTGCCGAAGTGCCTGCAGTAAAGTTGACATTTTGAATGGAAATCTAGGCTGATTTTTTTATAAACCTAACCCAAAAATCCCTACAAAACCAAAGAAAAATAACTATAAAATGATAGGGTTGTTAATAATCGTCGTTCAATTATACAATTATTCACGAGTCGTTCGAAAAGAAAATACGAGTGGATACATTGGCTTTTATTCGTAACGTTACATCGTGATGTGTCAAATTAAATTGAAATTTGGTAAACTTAATAAAGATTTGTAATTCGTAACCCCCCTCCCCCGACTTCTTAAATGATTGTAGACAAACTGTACGTCAGTGTCTGGATATCAAAATGCTTACTTAGATATTGATAACATTAATTAAGAATAATCGAGTAGAGCACATTCCTGAATCGTTCTTGAAATATGTCTGCATTTATTGTAACGAATATGGTTTTAAATAAACATCTGGATCTAAGCAACGTCTTAAGTGCAGTTTGGTGGCCTTAATCACAAATCATGTAAACTGTTGATCGCAAAGTAATAAGTAGAAGTCGATAAGAATCGTATCTAGGCGCGCTGATCGATTTTTAATTAACGTCTGGCTACAATGTAAAGAGAAAAAGCAAAGACATGTTCTTTTGAGTAAAATGTCATGTCAGAGACGCTAGATTTATTATGGGTTTGGCGTTTTATTTTAAGGTCTTTAGAGGTCGCTTAGTGACCGAGTGATTTACTTTGAAAATGTCAACAATATTTCCTAAGGTGCGTCTGGCATAATTGATATTGTATTTGATTTATATTTTGTCGATTGATTCGTCTGAAATCTAAGTCAAATGTGAATACATACATATTTGGTCGACATTTCAAATTTCTTCGAAGAAAATTGGTAGCGCGGATTTATTTTGTGACAAAAGCAGGGAAGCAATTTTTTCTTTTATCGCGTTCTTCATTCAGAAGCCAGGTGAGAAGGTCCAGAAAATATTCCACTAGTCGCAGATTTTGAGGATTACTTTATTTTCATAGAAATATTACATACTAACTTGGATTCCTTGGCATCCAGACCCCTCGTAATACCAGTGTGTCTTAGGTGAAAAGGCACATTGCAAATTAATATTTTAGGAGTAGGGATTATTTAACAAAGCTAAACAGCCCTTAATTCACTTACTTGTACAATATCGCACCACCTTAATTTTCCCTTCCTACATGTACATCCGATTTTATATATTTCTTGGTCGTTTCATCTTTATTTATTTATTCATCTTATGTCTATATTTGTCTTATTAATTCAGGTACACGTGTAGAGCGGTATACGCAGTGTCCGGCCTGCCGCCAGATGGCGTTCATGGGCGAGTGGCTGACGCCTAAGGAGTTCCAGAGCAGTGAACACAAAGTCTGTCCAGACTGCAACCAAACCGTGCACACCGACTTCCTGGTGCAGCCGAAGGAGAGGAAATCTGGTAATTACAGCCCTGACGCTAGCATTAGCATTGCTTCTGCGGTGCTGTCCCTCCATTGCGACTGTTGAGATACCTCACATACTGAAATAATGGGGCGCATTGTTAGTTCAGTAAACTTATCGTCTGCGATTAGTTTTTTTTTAGATGTGTGCAGATCCCTCTTTTTTATCGTTTTGCTCGCGTTCATTAAATTAAATATTGTCTCACTAACAGAGAAAAAGGAGACTTGTTAATTAATGTTAATAAGCACGTTATTGTTGAATATTTATACATGTGCATGTTGCTCCATGGCCAGAGCCGAGGTTTAGGCGCACACCGTATAGGCCTACAATATAAAAGAAGTCGCGGTTATTTTTTGGAAAAGTCGAGTATTCTAATTCAGACGGCAGGTATTCATGTATTTTTTGTTAATTAGGTTCGATATATTCTTAACAAAACGTAGGACTCTAGGTGGCATAAAGATCTCTTTTAATTTTAATCAACACATGAAAGGACATTAAAATAAATAAACTCAATTTTCATACGTTTTTTTTCTCTCTCTCTCTCTCTCTAGCCGAAGAGCTGATGAAGATGATGGAGGAAATACGATCAAGACAGGCCGCGGCCGCAGCAGCAGCAGCAGCGGCTTCTAGCGACAGCGAACCTACCCCGCGGCCAAATTCCGCCACACCCTCTCCCCGACCCACGGAGGATCTAATAAAGAAGTTTCGCCCCACGGCCATAGTGTGAAGTTGACAAAATGGAGGTATAAGATTGGTTGTTGTTTCCTCTGTCCTGGGCAACACCTTCAGTCTAAGATGAGGTCAAAATGTCAGTGCGTCCCGTAGCGAAGAAAATAAATAACAAACAACCCTGAAATATGGCGCAGGAAAGAGACGCTCATTACGTCACATCACAGGAAAAAAGTAACAGCCACAGGGAATAGGGAGGTTTTTACGACACCGGGCATTGGACAATTTCCCACCGTTATTATCCAAGTGCAATAAGTAGATTTCGGGACCACGTGTGTCGGAATCACTCTTATAGTGAATTAATTTCATTTTTTATAACGACACATGTTAACTTGATATTTCCTTAAGCTTCTAGAAATATCTATAGGTATTATTTTTTTCAATTCCTGCTTCAGGCAAGTTAAAACGTGAAACATAGGGGAAATGTTTTTAAGTATTAGCAATACTGTCAGGGTAACAGTGATTTTTAGACACGACCATCAATACAATTTGGAATCTCATTGATAGCAACCGTCACATTACGTCCATGCATCACCCACGTGTTGAGGGTTTTGTTACGTCAGCTGTCTTTGTTAAATGGAATGAAATGCTTGACCGATTTAAAACGGGTTATATATGGGTCTAGAAGATTATGTCCTGAGCGAAAAAAGAGAAAAGAAAACTGAGATGTTGTTTTTCAACCTTCGATGATAGAAAATACTTTGAACACGCAAACTCTGCGTGAATGACGTTATAAGAAATGAGACATGCCCTCAAAAAATCCAATCTGACTCGTTCCAAATATCCAAACATGCAATTTATCCACGAATGATCAGTTTAATAGAAAATATCGACTTAAAAACCAGTCGAAGTTTCGTGACAACAACACCCATACAAAAAATTAAAAAGGTAATGAAATTAACAAAGAAGGTTAGGACTCATTACGCTCGAGTAAAATCAGTTTAGGGGAAGCCATAATAAGGTTACGGAATTTACCCCGCCTCGTTTAAGTAGGAAAGTAGCACGGGTCTAAGGGCAGGTTTATTGCACGAGCTTGAATGTCTTGGGCGTTCCACCGGTGATGTTAACTCGGGCGGGGATTCCATGTCTTTGAAATTTGAGAGAGGAGCGCCCCCAAGCGTTTAATGTTTAATCGGGCGTTCTTAGCGGAGGATGATACCTCCTGCCACCACATTTGAACTCGTGCATGGTGGAAATAAAACTTTTCTAGAATTTTCAGACTTTTGTTCCAGCTACGAGTATATTTGTTTAAAAATCGGGATCAAAAACCTTGTGACTGTGGCATTTTGAAACATTAGCTGTGGAATTATTTAAACAAGGTCCGCCGTCAGTAAATCTAGGATTTAGGCATTTACTATTAATTATTAGATTAACAGTTTCTGCTGCAAATTGTTTACAGCTTTTGTCATTCTTTATTTATTTCTTGTCAATAGAAATATCATCTTGTCCTGAAGTAGAAGTCTCTTATATATAATAATGCTTTAATTTTATCTAAGTTACAATTTACAGAAAGTATGTATTTCTAGGCTGTTGTGATTAAAATGTCATGTCATAAAATGCCGCTGAAATTTGCAGAGTAAACAGAAATTATAACTTTATCTCTTGTTAATGTAATGCTGAATATGTTGGTGCTGTTAGTTAATAAATTTTCTATGATAAGCTGTATCGTTGAATTTGTCAGAGCAGTCAGAGAGAGAGAGAGAGAGAGAGAGAGAGAGGAGGAGATAGAGAGTGGGGGGGCACTAAATAACAGATGTCTCAAATCCATTAATCTATTCAACCTTAGACTAACGTCAAAAATCAAACACGTCCTGTGAACTCAATAACAATGTGCGCTTTTGATTAAATCGTCAATACACCCGAGGAAATAAAGTTTCTCAATAAGGGGCGGCATAGCACGTGGCTTTAAGACCATAGCGTGACCTTCAGGGCGCATAGAAGGTCACCCTCATTTGCTCAGTTCCATCTCACCAAGCAATCGCAATATCGCAATCAAAAACGTGTTAAATTGTATGTGAACCTTTTCTCCGATGTTTTGTCAACGGACACATAACAGGTTTCCGATGCAATGACTCTAGTCAAGACGATGGGATCAAAAGCTGGATATGGTTACAACACACAGATCAAACGTCCCTTGAATCGCTCCGCTGATGATATAGAAAAGATGGCATCGATGATGCTAGGGTCACTGCCCCACTGGGCAGATCACCACTGGTCAGATGGCTTTGTACAGGCCAAATAAACGAATCTGAAGCCTTTGATCAACCGAAAATTTCGGGAGGATTTTTTAAAACCGTGCGCCACCGTAGTAAAAAACATGTTCTAATAGCAACAAACTATGCAAAAATTAGGATAAATAAATAAATAGAAATATAGAAGACCCTGATACAGTTGAAATTTCGCAGTCACGCACTTCTTTCTCTTCTGAATTATTTTTGACAAACCATTTCCTCCGATGACTTCGTTGGCTAAAGAAAATATGTTTAAATTGTAAGCATAACCTTATTTATTTATTTATTTATTTATTTGTGTTAATGTTTGAGTGCGAGTTGCCCTTTCCTTGTCATTTCTAACTGTATTGTCGCCAGGGTCGTTCACTTATTGATTGTTTTTCATAACAAGAACGTTCGTTTTCTTATGTTTGAAGAAAGAAAAAAAAATGTGAATGTTAAAATCGGTACTGTAAGTTAACTCGTAATCTCCATATTTCCTCTCTTTTTTGTTCATATATTTATACAATTCTAATGTAATATTTGATTCCAGTTAATCGCTATCATATTGTTGTTCGGGGGGGGGGGGGGGGGTCTGTTTTTCTTCACAAAATCAATTGGTTATATTTAAACGAAAATCAGTTTAAGCCAGTGTAGTTTTGATTTGTATTATTTTATTTTTTAATTGCACGGTCCCCCTGTTGCCTGGTAACCCCTGGTAACCCCCTTCAAAGCGCTGAGGTTGTGATTTGACTTTTTTCCTAAATTTGTATTTTCCCTCCTCTCCTTTGCAACATTGCTGCTAAGCTGTGGTTGCTCCAAGGAATGTGATACCGGCGACTTACGTCAAAGCAATCGAGCTACTCAAAGTGCAGCGGTACTACTTAGACCAAAGAAAAATACCTTCCTTAACACATGGGAAATGTATTGAAAATTGCATTTATTGTTATTATTATTATCTACAACTACTTTTTCTGTCAAATAAGACAATAAAAAGTGAATAAACAACCACCATTTTCCCAGTGTATTTGCTTTAATTCACGATCTCAATGGCGGATTAAAAATTTGCACAGACAATGAAAATATGAATAAAATAAATTGCGATAGTTCAAAGGTGGAGAGAGTGCAAGGATGTTTTGCCCCTCCGGCTTTCACGAGTAAAAAGCCCATCTAGTCATCTAGTCAGCAACCATCAAAATGTCTTGAAACACCTTTTTTTCTTGTGTTATTTTGTATCTAAAAATCCGCAATGATTTCATCAATGTCTGCAAATCATTCTTGCGGACATGTGTACCTATAGGCTACTGGTTATCTGTGCATCACTAACCCTTCAATTTTCAGCACTTTTGATTTAATTCACCGTCTTATGTAATGTTTGTGATAATCGTGCGATAGGGTGTAGTCCCGCGATCACGTTGTGTAACAAGAAAGTACGCGTCTGAACTCCTACACGCTCTTTGTCGACATATCACATGCGAATTCGTTCTCGTTGTCGCGTATCAAGGTGACATTTATTTCATAGTAGTAGTCATAAAAAATATAGCTTACTTAGTCTGCAATTACTTCACAGAAAAATAATCCCAGTAAAAATCGTTCTTCCTAACTTTAAAAGATTCTCTGGTGTGTGTAATTAAAAAAAAAAAAAGACGAACATTGTCATTTATTGTCATTTTTGTGGAATCAAATGACCCATTAATGATTGCAACAAAAATGTGCTATTTTAACATGAAAGCATCTTTTTATTAATCTGCAACAAACGAATTTTAATGGTATAAAAAAACTAAAGTAAAAACATGGATCAGAATCCACATTCAGTGACTCGTCAATTTTCAACGTTTATTTTCTATACAATGCGTAATACTAATAATAAATGTGATTTTCACAGAATTGATAAATTAACCGATAGATATATAGATGAATAAAGATACCGATTTTCATTCATTTAATACTAATTAACTACAGACACTTCAGTGATGGGTTAACAACATTTTTCATTACTTTTATTATTCCTTTGCATTTAAATAGATAATGCACGTATATATTCATTCAATCAACCATTCATTAAGCTAAATCCAAAATCCCTCGCTGACACGGACAACTAACTAGACCAGCTAACTTCCTAAGTTTTGACAACGGCACGTGTATTACACCATTTGCCATTGTGCCGCAGACTGCAGACCGTCTCTAATTATTCAAACTAATTCCGAACAGCATACGCAGAAATTTAAGGTCTGGGAATCTTCTAAAGCTGTATTAGTGTCAGACTTTGGTCAAAGGCATTCTGATTCTGGATTCAAATTGCGCTCTGTTTAAAAAGCGTGAGGGTCAAGCAAGCCCGGGGTACAAGATAAAAAGCGGTCTCATACGAGTAAATGTTTTTGTAAACACACCTGTTTTTACATGCGTTGTCATAGCGTTGTGTGAGATGCTGAAAAATACGACAGGCGGAAGTGATCGTGTTGAGCCCCCTAGAGTACATATGTAAGTGTCCGATACCGCCTAGATACCACTGGTACCAACTGTCGCTGAAATGGCTCGACATGAATTTGATCAGCCGGAGAAGTCTGTTTGTAACTTTAGTACTAGGGTAAGTTACAATTGCTATGTAAGCATTTCAATTATAACGAGTGAGATTCTCTGCCTGATAATAAATAACGCGGAAATAGATTGCATGATTACCGTAGGCTGCCGTAAAGGAGGTAATAAGGTTTTGCTTTACTGGCGTTTTTCTTCAAGAAGGAAATAAAAGGCGGGTTTGGTTTTGTCAATATCATTACATGGTTAAAGTTGTCACGTCAGGTATTAAGAAAAGAAGTCAATTTCGATAAGTTTTAGCTTTTAGGTCTATGTATCAGTAGTATAACTGTGGTGGATTACAGTAGAATCACTTGTAGGCTCTGGTTAATTTCTTACTTTAATAATATTCATTTAATAATTCTTAATTTTATTTATTTATTTATTGATTTATTTATTTATTTATTTATTTATTTATTTATTTGTGTGCAACAACTTAATTTATATCGGAATTTGAATAGTATATATCCCCAGTATAAATACTTCGTATTTCGAAACCAAATGATTTTTTTAAGATACGTACTGGGAATGGCATTTGTAATATTATACTTTTTGTAAAAATTACTTATCATTTTAAATGTGTGATATTCTATCAGTCATCAAATTTTACTTTTTAAAAAGAAATGTCACTAAGGGCCCATTTCCGATGAAACTATTTTACGTAGATCGATCTAACTCGACGTGAACTCTCGCAGAATACAATCAGTTTGACAGATTAACACGTCTCCTCTTGTTTCCAACGTACTTGTATAATCATTAGCTTCTCTACATTCTACTCATCGTCGGGAGGAGGGGGGGGGTTGGATATATCTACTTAAAACGAAAGATTCATTGGGAATGGACCACAGGAGTATTACCTTGGCAAACCACTATTATAACAATTAGTAGTACCTGTAAATTATAGAAATCCAGAATTAATTTATTGTTGATGATAGTCAATTAAACAGATTTTGTCCATGAAACAGACAGCCAGACGAGAATCCGTGACCCCCACCGCCCCCACCCGCCGCTTCGCCTCATTGTCCGTCACGCTCGTAGGCACTCTATTGCATCATATATATATATCGTCGGCGGGCAACGTCCGCAACAACTCGTTGCCCATTATCTTGGTATTGAACAGGTAATAAGTGTCTACAAACACGTGCACGTCATGTGAACTAGACCATGTAAGAAGAAAATCTTTGTTGTCCACCCGTGCGGGAAATCTGTGCAAGATGTTGGGTCCGAATGTACATCCATGGATGACGTCACTGATGACGTCACTGCTGGCGCAGATATAGGGACTTTTCTACAGACCACCTCTTGTATACGGCAAGCCTTTTTTAGAACTTAACACGTCCAAATTCAATGATTTTGATGACTCCAAAGTTTCGCCTATGCATTTCACGTATATACATTGTGAAAACATGTACCAGTCATTTTGACTCAGAAAACGGTCCGTGTTTTGGGTATGCCAAATCCAAAAAAGCTCCCCGTCTCTGCGTCATCAGTGACGTCACTTCATAGATGTATTTTCGGAACGGCCTCATTTTTCAAACGTGAGCATTAAAGGGTTATGATTGTATCTTATATTGATGAATTTTCTTTCTGGTGTATTTGTGTTTTATTCGTGTTTTGAGACCTATAAATGATCAAGCTACTGTATATAAATGAGACCGTGCTTGCGTAGCTACCCTTCTGAAGAAACAGTCAGATAAGGCACCTGTTGTAAGCTGTTATTGACGTCCGACATACCCCAGGTGACGTTGGATCTAGTGTTTTTTTGCCATAGCAACATAGCTACACGTACATGTGTACATGTACCCACATTTCGTATTACATGCAATATAGCGATACCAATTTTACAATGGCATTACTACCTTGTTGTGTACCGGTACGACTTGAACCATGTTATCTCTGTGAACTTGTATCTCATTACATACCAACTAGTACGTACAGATCTAAAGACCAGTTATCATTAAAACCTCTATGCGCAAGGCTAAAACATTTGGGGAACATTTTGAATACACGGCCCCGTATGAATTGAAGCAGTTGCCGTCAGAAGTACGGGATATAAGCTCAGCTGATGATTAAAAAACACTGAATACAATTTTTTTTAAATAATGATTGAGCATTTTATACTTCACAGAACAACATAATTGGACACGTTTCTTTTTACTTTTAATACCATTACTTTTTATTTAAAAATAATCTTTTGAATTTTGTATTTTATTTGCAAAGTCCACAGAACAAATTTCGTTAGATGTTACACTTAAAATAAATATTTTATTATTTTATTATTAATGAACATTTGGTCATGTAAATAATAATAATAATAATAATAATAATAATAATAATATACAATTATTGACTTGGGTGCGGTCGTACCGACGATCGACTGACCCGAAGCTGGGATAATTGACCGACAGTAAAGGCCGGGATAGAACTGGCAAAAGAATATAAATAAAGGTCTCATTATATCCAAGCACTTTAGCTCTCCAAGCAGCCCAAACAACGATCTGTCTCGCGGAAGGCAGAATGTTGTAGAATGGTCGCCACTGGTCGTCGATGCTGCTACAGAGAAGCTAAAGAGAATGCTGTGAGACGCGGTTTTCTTGCTATGGCGATCATTCAGCGTCCTGGCCACATTTTGATCGTAGAAGGGACGCACAAAGGTCGCCTTCAAGTGTAAAGGGGACTAAAATTGATTTTACAACTTCCTTAATATCATGGATATTCATGAAAGGACACACGAAACACGATGAATGAAGATACTAGGAGGCTTGTGTATGCGGTACAACTCCTGTGGTTCAGTATTAAAATAACTTTTACTCAGATTTTGCGGTCGTGCAGCTTGTTTTCTTTACCGACAATATACCCCCTTTCGTCTTTTCTTTCTCTCTCTCTCTCTCTCTCTCTCTCTCTCTCTCTCTCATATTGGCTCTCTCATTTCCCGTCCTCTCTCCGTCCCCTCCCTCTCTCTTCATATACCGGTACTCGTACATGTACATGTATTCACACCATAACCAAACGGTTCATGTGCACAGCATGAATTCTTCATGAAGCTGAACTTGAATATTAGTGTGAACCACAGTTTATAGGGTCACATGCGTTATTTCGCAGCTTCATTAAATATTCACAATACATCTTGCTGCTGATTTAATTAGTTAAGTAATTAATCAAATTAATTAATTAATTTATAACAATAATAATTCATCAACAAATTTATAAATAACTTCAAATTAATTAATTAATTAATTGATTTGATTTCAGCCATTGATTTATACGAATGTGACGGTTTATGATCAGTGAATGAATTCACGTGGTAGTAGAACGTCAGTCCATGCATAACAATGCTCCCTCTTAAGATGTAGCTGGCATTCTGTGTTCCTTAATTATATGATCATGCTTGGATGCAATATGGCAGATTACGGTATAATTATATGATATAGGACATTTAGTTCAAAATACAGGATAACACATGTAACAATACTTGTAGGTCAGCATGCACGTGCCTGAGGTATAAAAATAAGACTTTATGAACATCATTATTCACCGATAGTTCGTCCAAACTTTTACACGCAAACTTGAGTTAGATCCAGGATAAGTTACTTCAATATCTGTATACCAATTAAATGAACATTATTCGTATTTTGTAATATACAGTAGAAATGGACATTGTTTTAGAACAACAGTATAACCCGTTTTCTGTTGATTGATTAATTTTTCCCCGATTTGAAGCTCACTTCATGTAGACCGAAATTTCGGTCTTAAAATGAAGGCCATGCACTTTCCATTGTAAAGCGATTTTGTGAAGCAGCCGCTCCACGTGACACATTGGGAGCGTTTGTTGCTATATGTCGTTACGCTCACTTTAACTCCCCTCAAGAAAAATGGGATATTTGAGGTAAGAACCCCACCCGTGCGTGGTGCCCTTAACGGACAATTTGGCCCCTGATGTGTGTAATAATTATACCGTTAGTGAAGAATCGCGGAAGAGTCTGGGCATATCTCGGTAGATTACTATATCAAGGGGATGTATTTGGAGAACATAACAAGACAATCACATCCCTCGATTACGGAAGTGTGGCCCTAACGACATGTAGTTACCGGTGTATTGTGCGGCAGTGTTCGTGTAGTACTTATCAGAGCGGTTAGACCCCACTCCCATAAACACCATCGATCTACGTTGATCGATCCAACCCTGAGGGGACTCTCGCTGAATACAGTTTTACAGATAAACACGCCTCCTTGCATGAGTAGAATACAGAAAAGCTGGTGGTTATACGAGTGCGTTGGTAACAAGAGGAGGTGTGCCATTCAGGTAAGCTGATTGCACTCAGAAAGAGCCCCTGCAGATATGGATCGATTTACGTTGACCGGTGGTGTCTTTGTGAATGGGGTCTAAGACTTGAAATGTGACGTTCAGAAACGCACAAAAGCAGCTACTCCTTGTCGAGAAGGGGGCGGGCAGGGAATCACTGTATGATAATTGATTATTTCGTGTATTCTGTCTACATTTTTGTGTCTTATCGTCATTCGTTCTGTAATTTACTGTTATTATAGGTGCACGTATCTCGTTTGTACATTTGTAAAGGTAACACTTACTGGTCTTAGAGCGTGATGGATTATTATAAATTTACAGAAATGACTAAGGTTTGACCGGGGCATGCATATAAGATGCTTTTTAGAATCGAAGAATTTAAGGTCTCCAAATGAATCACTTTGAGCAGTTATCAGTTGAGTGTTTGGCGACCATGCCAATATCCAACTTTTCATCACAACAGATGAATGCTGGTTCGTGTAAGTCCTGCATGTGAGAACACAGTCTTGGGTAAAGGTTATTATAAATTTGCACTACTGGTGTGACAGGAAAGGAAGTCCTAGGAAAGTAAGTCCGGGGCGCCATATAATTAAAACAGGCTAGGGTTAGCCGCAATATTAAGGCTGTTATATGGTATATGGGACGAATGTCATATTGCTAAGTAACGGACTGCGGTTCCTAGCGGAGTACCACTCTTGTCACACCGGCATGGTATTACGACATTTAATTTACTACAACAGTTGCTGCACTTTATGCATAAATATTGCACACGAAATACGAAAAGTTAAGAGTTAACTTGAATTTCATTTCATTAGCAGACACAGGCAAATCTACCGCTCAGAAACAACATGGCCTCGGCCCGATCCAAGGGCCGAATAGACACCGGTCACCTGCCTGCTGGGACATACCATCCAGGGCTGGAGCAGAGAAATCGGAATAATGGGATGAGGGTCGTTCTCGCGACGCCGGAGCCAAGAAGACGGTTCGACATCCAGACCCATCTGCCTTCTGTGTTTTCGGTGTGCGTCTATGTGCTCCTGGTGGCGTCCTTGCTGACCGAGAAATGGTTCGCCTTCGCTGCGGATCATGTCGATGAGGAGTTTACTGGATGGGAGGTTTTGGCAAGGATGTCAGGTGAACAAATTAAGCTCGTGATTTTTTATCCAGTATTTTTCTGCTGAAATTCATTGTTTACCTGTCTTTTTGTCTTTTTTCACGTATACGTTTTTCTGTTTTGTTTTCTTTCGATACGTCCGTTCTTATCGAAACTATATACCAATGAAAAATATAGGTTTACTGCACCAAAATAAAATAAAATAAAATAAAATAAAATAAAATAAAATAATAATAATAATAAAAAGAAAAAGAAACTCTCCAGATTTTTTATTAGTGTATTTCCGCAATGCCAGTTTAAATATTTTGCATTTCTCCTTTATATTTCGAAATTTTCCCCGTAAGTTATTTTCTTGTATATCAGTAATCTATACTGCGCTTGTGGTAATTATACAGCACAGTTTATCAGAATCACCGCTCATTCATCTGCAAAACTTTACAATATTTAAACACGAAATGCTACAAACATGATCAATATTTCACATGTTATGTCTTCGTGTGAGTCTGCTTATTTGGAAGCGCGCTAATATTCAGGTTATGACAGCCTTATCTAACCGACCTTGTGATGACGAATTTATAACATGTCCGATGTAATCCTTCTGCTGTTCGCTGCCACCATCGTGACGGCACATTATTAATTTGATAATGTAATCCAAGTTCACAACTCTGATGTAGTTTCATCTTCTAGTTCTGGGTCGCCTGGTTGTAATGCCTCTTTTTTTTCCTCTCACAATTTCAGATGTTTAAAAATAATGAATAAAACATGAAATAAATGCAAGAAAATTGAAATAAAAACAAGCAATTCACTGACATAACTAACGCAAACACTTGAGAAGAATTCTACACTGTATCACTATTAGTGTACATCTACAGCACAAACGTTTGCAGAACTATAATGTAGAATCGAGCATAGTGCGCACTGTCTTGTCGACACATTTAAATGCATGTGCATGTACGTTTCTTTATTTATACATAGCACGCTTGATCAACTTCCACGCCTTGCTGGTTCTGCTGATGATGTTGCGTGTGACCATGACCTTAATAAGTTCAAGGATACGAATACCGTTCTGGATCCCTCTGGACAAACACATCAAGTACCACAAGGTGGCGGGCATGGTGCTGTTAGTCTGCAGTCTACTGCATACTGTTGGACATATTGGCAACGCAGGTAATTATCCTAAATACTTCTAGTCATCAGGAACCGGATTGGCAGGAATGACACTACTGAGATTAGTTGTCCTAGGGGTGGAAAGCCCGGGTCCCATATGATAATTAAGCACAGCTAGGTTATACTGTTCAAGATACCAACTGTGTGATGTTATTTAATCTCTTCCAATTTTTTAAATAGCAGGCATTAGCCAGAGATATCTTTAATGTGAAAATTGGGTGAAGGGCCAATTTGTGGCCTTGGTAGAAAGTAAGTTTAGCTTAGGGTTACCATACACGGGTCGGTATATGGGTCAAATGTCACCTGTACAAACTCAAAGGAAGCAGACTACGGTTACTTCGGGACAATCTATTCATTTTTGCAGTTACCCCTTCCTTAACTCACGTGTTTTGAGGACGTCATTTTGTGCAATTTAAATAATGTCAGAAACAATAATAAGAAACCCAAAAAGTATTTTCATAATGTTCTTAACCATATGTTCTTTATTACAATAATATCAGCTACGGGTATAAAGCGTCTCACTGGTTCATCAACAGCAAAACAAAATCGTCACGCATTTTGTTTCAGCCTGGGCAGTGACGGAGCATAACCACACACTGGTCGAGTACCTGTTTACGGTACATCCACACCATCACCAAGCCAGCTGGATGGGCGGGACGGCCTACATCTCCGGCTGGGCCCTCCTAGCCATACTCCTGGCCCTTAGTCTGTCCGGTATGCCATGGGTTCGAGCGAAGAATTTTCAGGTTGGTGTTTTTGTTGTGAGATCTCGCGAGAACTAACGTGATGTGGCGCGAATGAGGCTTCTTGTATGCAAGAACAATAGGCAAAGAATACAATTTTATCCATTTATTCAACTGTCTCTTTTTTCTTGATCTTTTTCATTAATAATGCATGTATATATAAATATATTTTTTCTATTTATTATTATTATTTTTATTATTATTATTTTTTTTTTAGTTGCAAGAAAGGAATGTGCCCTAAATTTTTTTCTGTGCCAGTTTATCTTGATTCGTTTTTATCATCATTTCAATAAACCTTTTTGATTTTTTAGTTGACTTGTCTTTCCATATTACATATTGACACAAGTCGGGGAGCAAAAAATACACCTTCCTGTTTTTATCAACGAAACACTTTACAGTTAAATTTCTATAATCTTTTTCAGGCATTTTACTTTACTCACCTCTTATATCTACCCTTCATGATCGTCATGTTCATCCACGCGCCGAGTTGCTGGAAATGGATAATAGTGCCTTCCTCCTTATTGGTGATAGAAAAGGTCTATCGGACCAAGGCTGTGAAGCGTCTGGAATATGGGAAGATCTTTATCCAAGAAGGCGTGCTGTTGCCCTCCAAGGTAAGCGCTGAGGGAAATATGATTAACAAACAGGTAACCACGCACGCACGCACACAAATACCAAAGGGCTCACACTCACAAACAGATTATGCAACACGTATTTTTGTACGTATGTGCACATGCATGTAACACTCCGCAGATATTCCACTTCCCATGTTCATGTCTTTTAGTTATGTATCCATTGTAACATACGTGCAACGTTTTACCTTTACTTCACTTCAAAATATATAAGAAAAACAGATTAAATTAGATAAAGATGAATATATCAACAAACAAACAATAAGAAAAAATAAATAAAACAAAAACTGTATTTTTTGTCGTAAGTACGCAAACAACCAAGTGATGTCGTTGAGACGTCATTTTGAAATCGAAATGGATTCGTGAGCATCTACTTTACTGTATATGTAACAACTAAGGTAGCCCTAGCTGCCATCGTAACTTTACCGAAACAATCTTCTCATTTTCTCATGGTCGTACACGTACGTAGCACACGCCTGGCATTTACAGTACTATATTTTATTTTATTTTATTTTATTTTATTTTATTTTATTTTATATTACAGGTGACACATCTCGTTATAAAACGCCCGGAGAACTTCAACTTCACCGCTGGCGACTACATCTTTCTAAACATCCCCAAAATAGCTACGTTCGAATGGCATCCGTTTACGATCAGCAGCTCCCCCGAGGACCCGGGTAAGTGTGACGCCATCTGTAGTTTTTTAAGGCTGAAAGATTGTCTTAAACCTACGACGTTTTGTCTCTTTCAATTCCGCAAGGTATCAGTATGTCAAAGTCGGGCTGTATTCTTAGGCATACGGAAAGGATTGAAATTGCCATAGCTTTGACAGAAAAAAATGAAAAAAAAATGTAGCCATATCCTATGATAAAGAATTCAAACTTAAAAATAAGTCATAAATTAGATTTCTTAAAATTACAATCCAAATTTTGCACGACCATGAGACCGTCACTACGCATACACGAATGTCCGTTGTGGTTTACTAGAATACGGCTGTTCGAAAGCATTTGTCAGTCCACGCCAAACTAGGGGAATGAGGCTAATGGTGAAAGTGTAGATAGGTTCTAAAGAGTAAAATAGTGTTTTGTTACTATGAAGTATGTCCTTTCAGGCTTCCTCAATAGCTTTAACTTCATTGGCAGCCTCATCAATGTGCGTTCCAGAAGTGAGGATTCTGGGTGATATCGAGGAATGGAGTGTGGGTGGGTGGAAAGGGCATGGCAAATTTTATAGACGAAAAAGACTACAATAGGTAATTTATTCAATCTTGTCGTTTATTTCATTTTTTGGGGGATTTTTATCTTTGTTAAATCGTATGCATATACCTATATTTCAGATCATCTGTGGCTTCACATACGCGCTGTGGGAAGATGGACCAATAAACTATACGAATACTTTGAAGAGAAACGCGAGATAGCCAAAAGGATGAACCTGCCCCACATAAGGAACATCTACGGGGACGTGGACGGGATAGAGGAAGATGCCTCGAGTTTGTCTTCCTTGGAATCATCCAGTGATGGCCATGGAATCGATAACGTGGCTTTTGAGGCGATTGATGAATCGCGTGAAACAAAGAACAACGCCAAGAACGAAGAAAAATCGCGTCGGAGTATTACCCACGGGGTAATCCCGATTATCAAATTTGATTTGCCGGACAAGGGGAATGGTAGCGGATCGGATAACATTTCAGAAAGTGAAAGTGAAACTGAGAATGACATCGGGTTCGAAGACGACACAAATATCGAAGTTGTAACACTTAAAAGTGATACTGGAATGGGTAATGGAAGCTACACGTCCAGCAACTACAGTCTTCAAACCTACTCAGACGAAGACGACGAGTCATTCAACATAAAACAAAGCAGAAGGCTAACATCATTTCGGAATTTTTCGGACAGACTCGGAATACCTGAAAATTTCCGACAGAATTTAAGCGGTGGTGTGCAGAAAAAGGTGCAAAGATCGAAATCTATTGATAATGCACATATCATGAAGACAGAACTCGACCCGTTTGTCCAGATTCCTCCCGGATTTGACCGGAACAGAAGGAAATCCGCGTGCGCATTGAAACTCCCGGAAACAGAAGTTGTGAAACATCTGCAGCGCCGTCTATCGACGTGGCAGGGCATGTCCCATGGGCAAAACTTTGGCCATCTTTCACAAATGCCTTTCATATACAAAATGAATGCTGATGAACATAAACCGTCGATTGACGAAGCACTGGAGGTAAGATGTTTTCAATAAAAGTTCTTCGACTCGTGCAGTTCGACAGTACTTAACTGCGATTAGGCCAGACAAAACTCTTAAGTCGGTTAACGAGCGACGTGTCTCTTTAAAGAGGGTCGGGAAGACGAAAACATTTCTTCATGTTAAACGGAAGCATCTGTGGTACAGGGTCTGCCTGTTTTAATATTTATAGTTAATTTATTATTAACTGCTGTAAATGTTTTCCCGTTAATACAGCTTTGCCGTTTGCCAAAGTATGAATGAAAGTTATTGTTATTAGGTATAAAATATTAACATCTGAATACATACATTTATTTTAAAAGAAACGTTGAACCTTTAAGGTGATTTGGTTCCACTGTTTTCAGGTGTATATCGACGGTGCTTACGGTGCCCCCGCCAGTAATTTCTTCCAAGCCGAGCACGCTGTGATGATAGCGTTGGGCATTGGAGTCACTCCCTTCGCCAGTATACTACAGAGCATTATGAGACGGTAATACTTAGCCCCTTAAGGCATGCGATGCTAGTCATTAGCCATTCTTATAGCAAAAGGAAAATCCTGGACATATTATAGCAAAATTTTCCTTCAGGAAATTCGAGTCATAGATATCAGTTTTACCCTCACGAGTGAAATCTACCTGTGACATATCTACTGTAACGTTTCTGCTTTTTTATGATGTTAAGTTATGAAAAAATTCATTTAATTTCTTTATTCAGATATAACACGGCTAAGCACGAATGCCCAAAGTGTACACATTCCTGGATTGACGAGGACCTTTCAGATACATTGGGGTCATTGAAAAAAGTAAGTTAACCATCGTAAATGTACTGGTGCGCAGCGAGGCAACCGTATAAAGCTCATCTTGGCTTACAACAGCGCCATCAAACATAGTTCGACTGATCAGGGTCATGTGTACTTAGCGACAACTGTTCGAAGTACATGTACATGTATCTGTCAGATTGAAGTCGTGGGTGTTTAACCAGCTCCGCAGAAATGCGATTGAAGTTGTAAAGAAAATAGTCAATTTAGCTGGTTGTATACATTTTGTTTAAGAATTTAAGCTTTGATCAGATGTTATATATAATGAAAATAGGAACCACACCGGGAGTGCTGCCCACTTTTCAGGAAAAGAACCCTCCTTTTGAAATTGCTGGCTACGGGCCTGTAAACTTCTATACGAAAAGATTCAGTGAAAATTTTAATAATCTAATTCCCTTCTGAATGACTGCCTTTCCCTTAAATTCCATCAAATATATGAAGAATAATACAAATATATCTTGTTAACTGAAACATAATCTCCTTCATTAGCGGAATTTTATTTAATCGTTAATTTTTACAATTTTATGTCCGTTTTACGATACAAATTAGTCACCCGAACTGTCACTTGTCACCATGCTGTTTCTCCCGCTGAATAAAGTCGATATTGAAAATTAACTGTAAGCATATATTACTTTTTGTAGGTGGACTTTTTCTGGATTTCTCGAGGAATTCGGTCGTTTGAATGGTTCAGTGATCTGCTGACGCAGCTGGAGTTGGAGCAACTAGAACTGGTGCCTGGCGCATCCATGGATACATTCTTAGGTAAATAATAATAATAATAATAATAATAATAATAATAATAATAATTTTTGTATCCAAGATTTTATTTATTTATTGGGGGGGCTCAAGGATATATACATGAACTATGGCCAAGCAAAAATTAGATAGTTTAGACAATTTTTATGTAAACTGTCGGGCTCGGGGATAGATTCACGTTTATCTAAAAAACATGTATGCCTTAATACTTTCAGATCTCCACATATATAACACAGAGACTGAGAACAATTTCGGTATTCGAGATGCTTTGCTTGCACCCGGGTTGGAACTGGTGAAGCAGAATAACCTGACTGACGTCATACCCGGACTTTTGACGCAGGCGCAGAGGGGACGACCTAACTGGAATGCTGTAAGCTAGCTGATGAGCGTTTTTTGAAACCAAGATATCTCTCTCTCTCTCTGTCTCTCTGTCTCTCTCTCTGATACTCGGCTGCGTTCTTAAGAAGTGTACATGTAACCACTCACTGTACTGTATAAGACGCACAGCCGCAGTGTGTTCCTGCGCTCAACTGCCGAATTTTTTTCTTAAATGTATTTCGAATACATTTCCACATCTGGCGGCCAATTCATTGAATAAAAGGCGACCAGATCTGGAAAAAATATTTTATATTTTACTTATTTATATGTTGATTTTAATTTCAGGTTTTCAAAGAAATAAACAATAACCGCAGGGGGCGTGTGACGGTGTATTTCTGCGGACCGCGATCGGTAGCTTCTATTGTTAAAGGAAAATGTATAGAATACGGCTTCAGGTTCACCAAGGAAAACTTCGGATAAATTTCTCACGTTTTATGTGCTTATTTAATATGGGATTCAATTAATAGTGTTTGCTATCTATGTTAGATGGTACATTAGGTGTCTCATAGATTGTATGTTACACGGCATCATATGGGTTTTATAAACTTAAGTGAATATATTAAAGGCATCCGCTTCGGTTTTAACTGTTATAAGCATAAACACACCTTATGCCTTTATGCCATAACACACGTCAAGCTTTTATTAACATGCCTTGTTTATATTCGTTTTTTATCTATGAGACTATACTTTTGATGAAACTCTGATATTTTAAAACATTCCAATTAATGGTATTCAATTGATTATCTATGGATTTTACATAGAAAAACTGTGATGGTTATTTTAAAGTTCTATGCTTTATTAAATGTGTATAATATAAGATGGCATGTTGCCTCATCAACATATTTCCGGTGATAGTAGTTTTCATGAATAATTTCATTATTTATATTTTAGTATTATTTTTAGCAGTCAATCCTGTACTAGGTATTTTATCTACAATAGTAGAATCAGCATCTTTTTTGTTAAACTTGTCTTTTTTCGCAATCTTTAAAGCTGCACAAGTAGCACAATAATAATGTTTGATAATTATGGAATTTTCATTATGATGTTTATCATAGTTCATTCTAAAAAAAAAAATAGGTAACACTGCGTTTCCGGGACTTTTCAGTTTAGTTTTAACATCCTTTGTCAACTTTTGTACAGTGGCTGGTCCTCATTAATTTATAATCATTTTATATATCATACTATCTGTGAAGTATACAGTACACGTGTACGCCTCTCAATTGGTTCACTTATGCTGTCACTTTGTGACTTTCACCCTGGCTCTCTGTATTGCGAAAAAGAATCGAACTGTTCATCTTTCCTATTACATATACACAGTATATATATATATGAATTCAAAATTATTTCTCACTTATAGAGAATATAGAATAGATTTGTACTGGTACAAAATAGAAGCTTGTTCAAACTCAAGGCTCCGTGTGTTTGAAATTAAAGCGATGGCAATTTGGTTACGGAAAGCAACCATTTTTTACAGTTTAATTCCTAAGTGAGATGTAAAACGAATGCACAACTCTAACTATTAAGGAAACAATCATTTTTAGTGATCTAGGCCTCAATATCAGTGAATATACAGCCGAATGTTTCCGTTTTGTAACTAATTTTCAGCTTCTCGAACTGAACATCGCAAAATATCAAGTTCTACAAAAGGACAATCATTATTTACTTTTGCCATGGCATATCATGTTTAACTTGGTAATGTTGGTGAAAGGTGGTTTTGCAATCAGTGTACATGTGTATATATGAATCAGTGAATACATTTTAAAAATAAAGTTGGACTTTCAACACACCCATGTTTCTTATATATAATCAGAATATTACAAGGTGCATGTGCTAAATCTAAAGGTTTTTAATTTTTTGCCATACCAAGGTATACCAGTGCTGCGACTAAGGACCTCCTAAGATAATTATGCATTTGTGTTCAGAATTTCTAAGTCATTAAGCGGTCTTTGTTAATATACAGAGCACAGCCCTTGAGCGCGTGTTCAGAAACTCTCTTTGCGGAATCCAAACCCGTATTCAGCCGCCTTTTTCCCCAGAACAACAGCCAGCCCAGGCGGGCCACAGTAAAAGATGGTCACTCGGCCTTTCTTCAGGTTCTTTAGCTTTTGGAACTCCTGCATAAATAAATAAATAAATAAATAAATAAATAAATATTTGATAATGATATGACCCACTCAAATGTGTTTTCACAGTTTTTATGACGGTAAAATGCAACGTGTTATTAAATTTCAGTTCTCACATCGCCGAGTCAGTCATTGATGAATGGTCGAAACAGCATGTATTGCTGACAAAAATACAGTTAGTTCCTTTAAAAACTAAATTCTATTAATAACTGGTATCTAACTGTTATCATCATCATAATTCAGATATGGGCAGTGAACGGGTTCCTAGGGAATTAAGAGAAGGCGATGGAATTCCAATGTTTTTATTATTCACTGCATCAAGAAGCTGTACAACTTCTTGGCTGCATAAAATCTACCGCCCCTTGTATATATATATACACAGAAGCTCTAATGATTCTAACCTCGTCCCAGTTTGGTCTTCCGGGCTGTGTCTTGGTTCTCAGACCAGTTATTGCGTCACGAGCCTCGACTTGGTGATTAAGGTCAAAGGTTATTTGCTGCAGGACTGACCTCATGTCTGTTTTTGCTGCCGTCATATAAATGTGGAAATCTGAAATAAACGGGAGGTGTGGTGAATGTATTGGTCTAAATAAGTTATATGTACCGGAATTTAAACACACACACACACGCACACACACACACACACACACACACACACACTTGTCAGCGGGACGTACCCGTTACCCGGTACATGTAACTCCTTATTGTCATTCGGCAGTTTCAAAGTCCAAAACAAATTCCAAAACAAATTCAAGTTTTGGGCTTGAAGGCATGCGTGAAATGAAAGGTTGACCTTTACTGGTATATGAAAAAAGTTTAAATTTACTGGTGATTCTAACATTTCGCAGATTTCACCGCTGGTGAATACATGTACAGTAGATCGAAATTTTGTCAATACTTCAGTGATGACTGGAACATTGTCAAAAAATAAACCAAGGAATATTTACTGCATATTGTATGCGCTCGAATTCGTTAATATGTCCTGAAACCCTAAACCAATGAAATGCATTATTCGTCCATGTTGAAATATGTCAGCTAATATACAGTACGTGCTGCCACCTACCGATGATACTGTCGTCCAGGTTGTCCAGATCCTCCTGTTCCATTTCTAACTGAGCCAGAAGACTGACGAACCACTCAAAGGACGACTGATCCCGGCATAGCCAGAAAAAGTCCACCTAAAGACAAAAAGATATTGTCTACAGACCGAAATGTGGGCAAATGACATATAGATATCGGAGTCTTAAATTTCCGCATTGACAGATATTTACATTTTCATGAGGCTGTCACAAAAAATGAGAAAGCGTTGTGCGTCACGTATCACTGCGAACATTTAACCAATGATAGCTCTGTATTAAATGAATGTTGAGAGTGAAAACAAGAAATGCATATGACTGTACATAAATATTTTCTCTATCTCTCTCTCACACACACACATACACACACACACACACACACGCGCGCGCCCGCCAGCGCACGCACGCACACACACAGTACACCTCTCTCCCTGTACCTTTTTCAAGTTATATAGGGTGCAAGGCAACTCGTCCAGCCAGGCGTGGTTACATTTAGGACACACGTTCTTCTCTCGCTGATATCTCAGCAGGATGCTCTGGAGGATGCTGGCGAATGGGGTGACACCTATACCGCCCGCCACCAACACGGCGTGCTCTGCCTGGAATATGTGGGACGACGGACTGCCGTATGGACCGTCAATAAACACCTACAACAACAACAACAATAATAATAATGATAATAAAAAAATAATAATAGTAATTATTATTATTATTATTTTACAGAAAGTATCACTGAATACCTTTGATAGAGAAATATATTTGGAGAAAGTGTGTGTGTGTGTGTGTGTGTGTGTGTGTGACCCCTTATCTTCGAAGACAACAGAGTGTAAACAGTAAATATGTACATACAGTTATCTATTACGTAATAATGGAAATCATTAACACAAATCAAAATAACAGCAATTTCATCAGTAAATATTCTTGGGAAAAAAATAAATCGTTTGTTGCATGGAACTCGCATAAGAGTTAATTTCTTACAACAGTCTATTATCAAACAATGTCTTAATCTTTAACATGTTGAAATGTATTCATTTTGTCTGGTTAATACCTCCAGTAATTCATTCAAAGTTGTATCAGCCGCGGGGTCGATATTATAGATGAAAGGCTTCTGCTTGGTCATAGCGAAGTTTTGACCCGACGACACTGCTTCCCACGTCGATAGGCGACGCTGACATAGCGTCATACGTCGATTTCGGTTGTGACCCGTCATGGAGTTGGACGTGCCAAGTCTCCGCAGTGGCGGGGGTTTAAAATCCGGGGGTAAGATGTCATCTTCTTCATCTTCTGATTTGTCCGATTTTTCACTCTTTTCGGATCTGTCCTCTTTAGTCGAGCCATCTGAGGGCTTATATTTGTCCATAGATGTCCTGCTTTCTTTGTCATCAGACACATTGCCGGAGTCTGAGTTTTCTCTCTCGTAGCTTTCGTCACTTGTTGCAACATCTTCATTACCATGGTCCATGTGAGAGTTTTCTGAATTTTTGCATTCACTGTCTTTTTTACCACTGTTAGCTGTGGTAACCTTTGCGGTTTCTTCCGTATTGTCGCCATTTTTGTTATTTTCTATATCGAATTTGTGTTCTGGGGGTACATCACGGTGATCTGAATCGGCTATGTGCTGTTTTTTCTCGGTATTCAACTTAAGGAGGTTATCACTAAGCTCTGGCTCTTCAGAATTTAGATTAGGCTCGACTGTGGAAATATCCTGAGAGTCACTTTGGCCCATTACCAGCGATTTACTGTCTTCATCCTCTTCTAAAATGTCATCGATTCTAGACACGTCGAGGAGATTACAACCTTGCTGAAGTTTCCGTTCAGCCATCGGAAGAGATTCTTTTTCATTCTCTGCGGCGTCGTTCTCGATTTGGAACGCAATGTTGATGTGCCCTTCGTGCGCATGTCCGGAAGTTGAATTTGGTCCGCCATTGGATACATGGTTGAAGTGGTTCATCCGTCTTTCTCTTTCCAGCAAATGGTTACTAAGGGCATTTTCCTCAGCCCCCGCGTCCTGACCTTGAAGACGCCTGGAGATGCTACGCATGCTACTTCCTCCGGTGTTTGCCCTGCTGCGCATGCTCCGCAAACTACTTCCGCTTGCGCTGGCTCTACTGCGAACACTGCTCCGAAAGGCGTCAACCTGCTGACTCATCCGTCGCTCTTGGATCATCAGTTCTGCGGGTGAGAACTGGAAATTGCTCACTGCCAGGCGACGGCTCTTTAACGTGGGCATGGTGGCTTCCCAGCGCTTCCGCTTCTCGTCAAAATACTCATTAACTTTCGTCGTCCACGTGCCAACGGCCCTGATATGCAGCCAGATATGACCTTAAGAAAGCAACATATAAATTCTCCATTTATTTATTTATTTATTTATTTATGACAAGTAGACAGCGTCCTGTCCGCGTAGGCCACACAAGATGGTGCTAAATCAATGGGTGATCATGAATCTAAAATTTTGACAACAGATGTTGGTATTTACCCCCCTGGTCGTGTCTGTTGCACATAAAACTCTCAAGTTTTAATTGTAAGCGGCGCACATGTTCATATACTCCTCTGCTCAAGTTTGTTGCTCACGGGCAAAAGTTTTGACTGTAGATGGTGTCACTTACCTCTGTACTCTGGGGCGCTACTAATGGTGAATGGGTGCCACTCAAATTTTGCGATCTTAGGGATATTGATGAAGACGTAGTCTCCCGGATTGAAGGAAAAACTCTCGGGCCGGTCAAGCACTAAATGTGTTACCTAAAATGATAATGTGTTGCAATCAAGTAAGTTCCAGTATCAGATTCAATTTAACTTTATTTTAGTGTTTTGCAATGTTATGAAGGTATAGAAAATACGGGAAAAATTACTATAACTACAAAAACTACCAGAACATTTATCTAGTATTAGGAAAATACGACAAAAAGAACTCACTATAGGCTTTGGTAAACATGAAAAGGTCTTTTCTTAACTTTTCTCTTTACTCACTTTCGACGGTAACAGTATCCCCTCCTGTACGAACGTCCTTCCGTAGGCCAGACGCCTGATCCACTTGAAGCGGTACAACTTCTCCACGACAAAGATGGCGCCCGGGGCCACAAACCATTTCCAGAAGCTGGGGCCGTGGATGACCAGCAGGATCAGAGTGGGAGCGTAGAGAATATGACTGAAGTAAAACAGCTGGAAGAAATACATGATTTATTGAAATAAATGGATACATTAAAGATTCTCATTGTACAAGTAAGATTTCCCCACGAAAAATTCATACTTGATGGGTTTTGCTCGGGTAAACGATACCATTTCCACCTTACCGACTTTTGATCCCCCGTTGCTTACATTCGCCATTATTCTGTAACAACCTAGGAGAATCAAAAAGTCCTCAACCCACTCTTAAGCGATGGTTTTTAAATCTTGCTATCATTTTAAGCTTAACAGGATAAAATGATAGATGAATACATTCAATGTTACATTAGATTAAGAATTATTGGGACATTTGGGGACAAGAACGTTTACCCAAAGAGATTTAATTCTTTTGTCGAACATACTTAAATATACATGTATCACTCAATTTCAGCTTTTGGGATATTATCTCTCTTTGTATAAATATTAAAAATGGTTTAAAGTATTTTTAGGAGGCTGGCCTTGATGATAATAATTAAGGGATGTCAACTATTTTAAAATCTACGACTAAAGCATCATTAATGCCTATCTTATCCAAAGATAAAAAACTACATGTCACGCATATGTGGTTTACATGAAACCAAGGTCATCATTTAAACCACAAAGACACTAACTACACCATTAAACATGTCAGATTGGCGACCGTTAACAAATATCAGATTTGTTCAGTGTTATCTCTCCATAGCGTCGAATCAGTGTCAAACATTGTCGTTAACTGCGTTCACGGTCGGTGGGTGTGTTGTAATAGGTATTTTGACATCGTTATTATTAGCCATTTTGGTTGTTCTTGGCATTTTACGGAATTGTGTTACTATAAAAATGTTTTGTTACAGTAGCTGCCTTTATAGCATTTTTAAAAGGTGCATTATGCGTGCTCTTTAGACCGTTTTGGCACTTGTGAATATTTGCTTTTTTGATGTAGTTAAATTTCCCTATATGTGAATTTTTAGACGAAAGTTTCAAATGATTTCGTCACAGAAGTACAGTGAACGGGGTGCATATAGTGCTAGTATAAATGGGGTATAGCTCCTAACTCTGTAGGGAAACCTCTGACATTTACTAGTATACTGTTAGATAACTTTCCATGACGTCAACTCCGAAATACGAGTATATTTCGAAGAGAAAAAGTTAAACAAAACACGTACAACACTCCATAAAAAATTACAACTGTTAAAAATCCATACCAATTCTCTCAGTGACTCCCTCTTCTGGTAACGCCACCCACCTCCCGTATCCTACATACACCACTCTTCACAACATCACACATTGAATCAAAACCACTTAATCGTGGCCTAACTACCTCAAAATGGCCTCTTCTCCTCACGAATGACTGCGCCCCGATGAACATAATGATGATGAGCACCAACAACGCCCATCCCGTGGGACACGCCGTGCCGGCCACCCACCCCACCTGAGATTTGGTCGTAAACAATGCCTCAGCAACGGTGATGTTCATACTCGGTGCTACGATGACTGGAACGCCAGATAATCAATTTATTTATTTATTTTATAATATTCAAAACAATATGCAAAACAACAGATCTAATATTATCTTAAACGTGTACTGAATTTTCATAACCATCTTGATGTAGAAAAGATACGTGTAGCATATGAATATACGTCTTTAGTGTAATTTGTATTTTATGTACTGTAGATTCACAACCGAAATAATACAACAAATATTCAAACAAACCAATCAATAAATACATATTACTAAAATATCTACCAGTACCAAATCCTGCAGATAAGTGCCGGTATTTTAGCTAGAAAGTTTGACAAGGAACACGAATTTACTTTTGTAATATACTGTGCAAAATGTGAGAAACATATGCATGTACCAGTGCTGTATATACGAAATGAGCATACATGTATTTTCAATAACTGATACGTACTAAAATTCCCGATATGTCCACCAGTGTGCAGTACGCTAAGGATCAATATGACAACCCCCACTGCCTTGTGAAAGTCTATATGTTGATCTATAGGCAGCCAGAATGCGACCTTGGATGACCTTAACAAGGTCAAGGTCACTCGCAGCATGAGAACCACGACCAGCATGCAGTTAAAGTTGAGTAGTTGGCCTGTTATATTAAAAATGAATAAAATGTGCTTGAATCATTTTCTGTTCTAACGAATGCGCATGGTTAAATCTATTGTGATTTTCCATTTTGATGATCCCCACCTTTGGTCTAGTAGGCACATTAAGTAATAAACAGTGATGCGTTCTAGGGTAAAAGAGAATCTCCATAATGGTTACAATATATTTCCTGTTACAAACTCCGTCATGATCCCCTTTCTGCTTGTTAATATGGTTAAGATAACACGATTGATTTTACAGAATATTTTACTCGGGTCTGTGATCCCTTTATCTTTGGGAATCACAATTATTTACAGGGTATTTTATCAATTAGCGCATGTGTTGTTTTTGAATCTCTAAAAATAACTATGATTTCAATTTTAAACAAAGGTTTCAATATATTTCTCAGAAAAAATTAGTTTTGCGCCACTAACAAAATAATTATTTGAAGGGACTAAGACACCAGGTTTGATTACGTTTCTGGCTTGCACTTACCACAAACGCGCGCCAAAATATCGAACCCAGTGATTTCGGAATTGTTGGCTAAGAACCGCAGCACTCTCTCTGCTATCAGGCCAGCTGATACAGAAAAATAAAGAAAGATGGCGACACCGCTTGGCGATCGGTTCAGCAGTTCTGTCGTCTGGCAGTTTGGGCAGCATGACCTTGACCTTGATGACTTCTTTGGGCGTGGTAGTGTTGTCTTTGACCCGGCTTTTATGATGTTACGAAACCATCCCGTTGTACTGTAAATTTTGAAACATCGGCAGTAAAATTAAAAGGTAGTACGTTCTCAAACTTTCAGAAAGACGATGTTAAGCTTTACACTTTACAAGTTAAATAAATGAATAATACAGAATGGTCACAACCTTGAAATAATCTTGATAAGGAAAATGCCTTTTAAACTTAATACTTCAAGGGTCCACCCATCAAATTATAACATATTCTATGGGCATTTTTATTTCACAAAAGTTACCATTTTCCGCAAGCTGTGTGCCTTTCTTTTTTCTTTTTTGCCGCCTTACTTTTGTCATTAAAGACGTCCCTTCTCATCTTATCACTGCATACTGATTCACAACGGGAATCTCCCTTGTGGAAATTTCCTGTAGGGCCCTATAAAATGCTCTATTGGAACTTTGCACAAAATCATACATGTATAGGGTCCATGTATAGGCATCCTATAGGACGTCAGAATTCCTACAGAGCCCTATCTGGTCCTCTAGGATGAATCTACCGGTAGAGTTCGTAAAGTCCTATAGGACATCCTATTTGGGGGTTTTCATAAGGCCTGATATTTTCGCTCAAACAATATTAATATCATACTATCTCACCTTTTGACCAGATGCGTCGACAAGGCAGGGAACTTGTTCATCAGCTCCTCAAACTCCTCAAAATCCAGTCTGCAGTCCTCCTCATCCTCAAGGTCCTTGGCGGCCTCCTCAATAAGTAACTGGACCAAGCTGTCTACGTACTCCTCGCTGAAGGTGTGGTCCTCCCCGCCTAGAGCCTCGATCAGGATTGCTTTAACTGCACTGGTATCTATGGCGCCTTCGCCTGCTCGAGGCCAAACATGTTTATTAGTGCGTGAAAATTATTATTTTTGCCCAATTAGAAGAAGTGTAATTTAGTGAACAAGACAAGATAGAGGGTCTTCAATAGAAACAAGTTCATTGTCCTAAGTTAATTATTTTTGTATCATTTAGCAACTAACAAATAAATCCATCTGTTTATTTATTGACATACTTTAAAACTGATTATAATAGTTCATTAAAAGTAACAACCATAAGGTTTATTTGTTATATTTAAAGAATAAAAATAATTCAATATAGATATTTGAAGAAATGAGATATTCGTTACTGTATCAGATTCCTCTTTTTAACACCCGGCTTCTTTTACCTTCTGTATCAAACACGTCAAAAAGGAAAGNGTGCAAAATTGCTTGAAAATGATAACTTTTGCTGACTCGTCTCATCATTATTTTTAGGATGATGAGTCTTAGTTAATATTTCATATTTAATTTTTATCCCTAAGGCCATAACATTTAATGCAGGCAACAATTTGCCACATTGTTATTATTGCTAAAATTATTAGGATAGTGAGTTTATTTAATAAAAGCGGCCTTGTTTGGCCAAATCACGAACACCCGATAGTTTTTGTTGCATTCTCTTTTGCTATGAACGGGAATATGCAAGTTTGTGATGCACTGGGATGGAGGAGACATAAAGTATTTGAATTCGTTCGAATTCTTTCTCCGAATAAACCCTTCGCACTCCTTCTTCCCATTCCTGAAGACTTAATCCGGCGGAACCATCCTGGTCTAAGATTTTAAAGAGGCGATCAACGTACAAAGGCTAAAATAGTAAAATATGCATATTTTTTCAGCAGTCATATCCTGGTGGAAATTCAGCTGTTTAGTCTACTGATAACGAATATTTCAACATAAAATTGAAGCTAAACCTCACAAATAAACAGACACACACACACAGACAGACGAACACACACACATACACTCACACAGAGAGAGAGAAAGACAAACACACACACACGTACACACACGCAAGCACACACACGTATACATACACACAAAGGCACACATCCACATACACACGTACACACACACTGAGTAAGGCCACGGTGGGACCATTTTTTTTTTTGTAGAAATTGAAAAGTATTAACTCATGATCATAACAAGCAGTTATATATCGTCTTTTAAATATGTTATGCAAAGACCAATTGCAAGCGGATGACAAACGATCTCGCATCTAGGCTGGGTCACGACCTCGTGTTATTATATATTTGCCCTAGACCTGGTCACAGCAAAGACTATAGCAAATAGAAAGTTAAGTGTCCTCAGTAAAGCTCACTTTACACTGGACGGCGTCCTTTCTGCGTCCCGTAGTACGGCCCCGTTTGAGAGTAAAATAATAATACACGGTATTTTACATGCTGACAACTGGCCTATCATTGAGCATTCATTCTGCAGCCAAAGCGATGCTTGTGACTCCTTTCTATGACCACAGCAATTCCAGTTTCATGGTCGCACAAAGGACGCAGAAAGGACGCCATGGAAATGGAGTTTAGGCATAAGCAGGCTAAAGCAGTGAGTAGGTGAAGGAGGGGGGGGGGAGGGGGAAGGGGGGGTCGGCAAAATGCGATGCACCTTGTTTTGTCACAACACGCCTGCAAAGCCATTTACAGTTTCCCTCTACCTCTACCCCCCTCCCCCACCCCCCACCGTGCAAAAAAGAAGTGTTACAGGCAAAAAAAAAACGCAAAAATCACACAATTTTCCACCCCTATGCCTTACATATTATAGAAAAAAACTGTCCTTGAATAGTATCCCTTTTTTGTCTTGTGTCACCCCCATAAACCGTCAAATAATCTTGCCACGAGGGCAAATTTAATGTTTTACTGCTTGGTTTCTTTTCGCTCATATTGCACCACAAACTACTTCAGGGTTGGTAGTTCAAACACATTTGAAGGAAGATTTAGCGTCGCCTGAAGGGAGACGTGAAAGGTAGCTTTTTGTGTTTTGAATTTTAGAAATGAGCAAACATTAGCGACTGCTCTCGACGCTGTTTTTCACTTTGTTGCGGGTTGTATCCATAATAGCAAGTGTAATTTTAAACTGAATCACTTATGTAACCTTACACCGTCTAACATGTTTACATCTCAAATACAACTGCGGTAAATATCGAATTGCGCTCACTTATTTACAAAAACTTCAATAGATTTTTTAACTTCGTAGAGTATCCAACACAAATTGAACTGAAATTTTAACATTATACGTGCATCAATGCTGTATATTTCTTGAGCAGAAAAAGTAGGAAAAGTTGGAGGAGGGGAGACAAAGTTAAAAATCAATCATAAGGGCGCATTTAAAAGTAACATTTATAAATGGCCTCGACTGGCGCTCTGTTTCACTAACCTGAGAATAAGCCTCATGTCAGAGACATATAATAGTCCCACATTTCAGGGTTTTTAACTAATTAATTACTTAATTAAATTATTTATATATTTTGCCGGAATATGCATCCGCAGCTTAACGACGTTTGGGTTGCTTGGTCTTTACAAATGAAATATCACTTAAAGAAGGACTATTGTGACACACAATTCCTCTCACCCGATAAATAAATATATATAAGTAAATCAGTATGGCGTCAACAGCAAAATTCACTCTTCACTTTTTATTATCAACATGATAATACTTAACTAAAGTCTAGTCATTTTGTTCAAACACTAGGCGCTATATTTTGACTCAAAACAGTCACTCTTTTTATCCTTTTTTTGCCAATAGAAAAAAATCACAATCATTATTGTTTTGAAACCGATGACGGGAAGGCACGTTCAAGCACTGTCCATACACAACATTTCAATAATTTTGGTCAAACAATCCTCGAGGACATGATTGACATTTTCATTCTGAATTGTATTAATATTGTCTTCGGGTTCAATAGATCAGGCATAATTTCATTTAAGTCCATTGTGCCCGACTTATACTTTATCAAATTAAAGTTTGCGTTTATTGTTCAATTGAGTTTACAGTCCTCTCAAATTCGCCTAACAAACACGTTAAAAATGGAAGCAAACAGAAAAGCATGTTTGAATTTGAAGCAGTCGACAGCAAATCTGCTTTGTGCTTTAAGAGCGTCGTGACAGTTGTCAAGACAGAAATTGACTCATCGCTATAATATTAGTAAGCGTATAAGGACAGGATGAACTCATGAACTAGTGACCAGCTAAAAAAATAACATTAAAAGAATTAATATAATTTTGGATCTCCCACCGGCTGCGAAAAAAAGAAAGATTTTACAGAAAACATAATGTCCCAATTGACTAGAAGTACATACTTACCGTCAGTACATTTTATAAGCATTTTTGTTGATATTTCCCTCAAAGGGTTATTATGCCGTTTGTACTAGCACATACTTATCTTGTTCTTCGCATTCCCGCTACACATCTACATGTTATGGGTAATTTAATTACAAGTGTTCGCGCCGTCACAGGAGAAAATGAAAGGGAGGAAGGGAGGAAGAAGAGAGAAATAAGTTAGAAAAGAGACGGGGGAAGAAAAAAGTGTGTGTGTGTGTGTGTGTGTGTGTGTGAGAGAGAGAGAGAGATAGAGAGAGAAAGAGAGAGAGAGAGATGGAGGGGAGTGATGGGGAGAAGAAAGAATAGATACAGAGCCATGTGGAATGTGGAGGGTAGAAGAGAAAGGAGGACGAAAAGAGAAGGGAAAAAAAGAAAAGAGAAANGACGGGACGATCCGGACGGGACCGAAACCATGTGTACCGCCAGCGCTAACGCTGGTGGTACAATAATAATAAGTGTGGTCCAACAACAAGTCTAAAATACAGTTTTGATGATAGTTTATAGCATTACCTCATGTAGATATACAAGGTATCACACACCTAAAGGGGGGGGGGGGAATAAAGACATAGGAATAATGAAGCAAGTCTTTTTTTCTATTTACAAAAATAAATATACACCACGAAAGAAGTTCCATTAATATAAATTTGAGAGAAGTATCATACACGTGATGCTGTATTTTCATTGTGGAGAGAAAAATACTGTTTACTGTATTGGGATTTTCTCTTGTAAGTTGTAAGATCTAGATGTCAATTAAAAGCTGGCTGATAGCACTTCAAAAGTATATCACTAAACTGGCTTACTAGTAAATGACTATCTTTTAATTCTACTGGCTTTCATGTGAAATACCTCCATGTTACAACATATTGTTTATTTCAAATGGAGATAACTTTCAAACTGACAGTTAAATCAGCAACCCCTGATACCTACCTATAGTCCACATACTTTCTAACAATTAGGATCATTTTTATAGAGATTGACTAGTTACTAGTAGTTGGGGGGTGCTTAAAATCAATTATCATAACTTGTAAATCTTTGTAGGCACAAAAATAGTGATAAGCAATGACAATTAGGTTACCAAACAATTAGTAAATTACTTACTAGTAGCTGACAGCTTTGCCTGTTATTCATGTGATGCAATGTTAGATACATGTACGTTTTTTTTAATATCATAAACAAATAAATACATTAATAACATGGATTTAGCCCCTTATCACCCCCACCCTCCTTTAATTGAATTAACTGATATTCTGTTTAACTGGAGCGTGATTAAGGGTCTGGTATAAAAGAAATCTAGCTGCTGCTACATAAAATAAAATGTTGTCTGTAGGAAGAAGATAATTTATCCCAAAACTATTTTCAAAGTTGTAAGTAGGATTCCTTGCATATATTCTACAAGAATCTGCATGTTTTCCTTTGATGTGTTTATAGTTCTAATTTACAGACATGATGAATGTGAACACAGCAACTGATAACTATTGAGAGGAACAGAACTGCTAATTCAATTGTTGAAACTGGTGCACTGTACAGAACATAGGTTACAGTTCTCAGAGGAAGTTTATACTGGCTCATCTAGCAAGCTCACAGCCGATTTCCTCCGTTGTACACCTTAAGCTCTAATTAATTTCCCCCTGATTACCCCCCTGTGCCAGTGATTATCTTTAACCCTAATTAAAATGCCAATTATCTGAGATCCAAAACTGTGGATCTGAAACCAATCAATTAAGAACTAAACTGTTCTTAACACCCTGAGCCTTGTTTAGGTCTTTGGAAAATATTACTCTTCACGTACCATTTCAAAAACAATATTGTGACTACAATTTCATTATCATAAGTTTGCTAATATAATAAACTGAAAAAAATATGATAATATTATAAATGTAGAAAGCTTGTAAAAAGAACTGAAATGAAGTGTTCCATGCAGCTGATTACACCTAGACCACATCCATACAGTGTTAAATACACAACAATGTTCCTATGTACACAATCAATTGATTTCTTGCTAAGTTACTTAAAGGGAAATTTATGAGCATCAACCTTAGGTATATGAAAACGTTCCTGCCACTGTGCTGGTCTTCATTCTTAAGCCTAAGAAGGCAACAATAAAGGTAACCTAATACAAGCTATACTTGCTGTCACCAAGTGATCAACAGAAGAAATCAAACAGAGTCACTGGACATGGGTACTCCAAACATTGGCAGCTGTATCATTCACTGTATTGACTGGAATAGCTAGAATATATAATAGCTGGCTCAATGGACGTGGTCTTGCAAGGGAAAATTTTACATGTTAACTGAAACCTTTCTTTTTGATGGCAAATGGTCTTATTCTTCCATTTTACTACTTGGTCAAACTGAGAATTACAAAAAAACACCTTATGAGAAAATAATAATAAATTTGTAAGAATTAATGATAAACTACATAATTAAGTATATACACCAATAGATAATTTTTCCTTCATCTTAAATCAAATGTTTGAATACTGTTATACCTTACGCAGCGAAAATTTGTAATTTGAGTTCAAATGTGAGTTCTGGAAATAACACAGTGATTACACTCCAAAAAGACCAAAAGCATGCAGTTGTTAACATGCAACATAAAACTCAGGTACAACTGTACAGTGCCAGACTGATATGAGCTAGATATATTTATAAATAGAACAACCCCGGGAATCAGATTTTTCTACCTGGACTCTTTCTGCACTTCTAGAGCTTTTGACCTCTGAAACTTGCTTCTTTTTCACATACAGCATACACAGGCCCTATACAAAGGTTTTTATCATGTGTGTGTGTGTGAGCTTGAGCACATGTGCCTACATATGTCTAAGAGAGAAAGAGAAAATAATGGTCAAAGAAGTAAAATTAATCAAATGTACATAACTACAGGTCATCTCATTAATTGAAATATAAATTAATTTTCAAAGACAAATACATTGTAGAATTTCTGAAATTGATATAAAATAGATTGTTCTTACTGTGCTAATAGCTCTTGTGTGCATTCTGCAACCATAGCAACTGTAGGAGAAAAAACTAATAACAGGCATAATCACCTCACATTCAGTTAATTTGTAAAAAAATGTTTTTCGGAATTTCCTTGTGTGAAAATTAAAAATATAATATGCATAATATGCATAAGCAAAAATACTAATTGTAAATTAATTGCAGAGAAATCTAATTCAAACTGACATACTACACCATAGGATAAGAGATAGTTTTAATGTAAAATATCATCACCTGGAAAACAATTACAGATAGTGATATTCAGAGACATAAGATATTGGTTATAATATTTTGATAAATCCTGCATGAGAACTCTTATAAAAACATAAAACATTTTTCTTTTAATATTGGATATATCACTGTGCCGTTAACTAGTATGTTTAATCACTGAAAACGTGCTAGTACTCTGTAGAAAGATTGCATTAGAAATGAATGAACAAACTGGATGTACGAGTATTCAATTATCCGTGATCCAGTCTATATAGTGAAAAATAATACGAGTCAGTTCAAAATGGACACGCTCCAGCTAAATTTAAAGCATCCTGTAAAAGATTAGAGCAGCTTAGTTCAGTTTTTCCTGTTTATTCGCTTACCAGTATTCTCCCAGTCATCGTTTGACCAGAAATCAGCTCGCCGGCCCAATCTTTGGCCTCCGAGACCCATCCTATCTCTGTCTCCGTCGAATTTTTGCCGAGAAGATGTTTCTGTGGACTGCTCTTGGAGTCCAGCTGTGCATTCTGTCTCCGTGCACAGAGTATTACCCCGACCCTCCACAACAGAACGATGATAAAACATGTTATAAAACTGAGGATACTGGACAGCAGGAATACATAGTACAGCCGATCTTTACACTCCAACAATTCGGGAGCGCTGGTGGTGGATAGGGTTAGCACTGTTGTTGTTGATATATTCGTTTCATTAGACATGTCTAAAAACAATGTGGACTTCCAATTGGTATAATTCCATCAGCATGGCGTGGTCTTCGTCAATCCGAGAATTCTGATCTCCTTCTTGTTACAACTACGATCCTTCTGTTTACGTAGTTTCAAATGACCTGTGTGCCTTAGAGAATATGAATATTCATGACTGCTTTAACATTAGCAACCATCACCGCTAACAAGCACAGTGTCATATTAGGATGACTTACACCAGCTAAAATTAGACTCTGTGCCATGCACTGTCCCCATTCGATCTGCTCTGTAAGATCATTTAATAATATTTTGAGATGCAAAACAATATTATTATAAATCAAATAATGAAGCACTATCGCCACCTATCAGTGACCACATTAAGCATGTGCTCTTCAGATTGGTCCCTTAAATCAGGTTAAAAGTGGTGACAACTACCCACATTTTTTGTAAGGTAAGTAATATAAAATTAAAGCAGAACTATAAAATAATTAGATATTTATTATAAAAGACTATAAATAAAATAAGATATTCTGAAAAACAATTGTATTTCAAAGGTTGTGTGCCGGCACGAAACAAATGAGGAATCAGTCACGTAAAACATTTCGGGAAAGGTGAAACTGAAGAAGGACAGGTAACAAGCATAGAGCTTGGAACAAGATAATAATGAGTGGTCTTCGTGTCTTTGGCCGCTTTCAAGCTGTTTTAAGGAGCCAGTACTTGATTACCAAAAGCATTAAGAATCCACGAACGGTGAGTTGAGTGACTTGAGCTGAAGTTTCTATACCGGTACTCTTGGGATTTGACATTTCTCCACCCAACCCCTTGAATAAATTTATTTTTAAAAATAAATAAATAAATAAAAACAATAATTAAAACATTAAAAGTAAGTTGCTATGCTAATTAAACACGTTTAAAATACAAAAACATGTCTACCGACACCAGTCACCGCTTGGCAGTTTAGTGAATAAAATTACTGGTAGCTTTACCCCCTAGCAGGGCCACAGATAATTTTTCAATCAGGTATTCACAGATACTTCTTTAAGGTCTTTTCTGTGCACTTTTCTGTTCTGTTACATATAATTTATATCATCACTTAACAGGTCTCAGGCAGAGAGTAGTGTAGTCTTAGGTCTTATCATTATGCCACATAAACTGAAACATCTAGGGCCTCAGAAGACTTCTATACTAATATGGTGCATTATTTTTTTGGTTTAAAAAAATATTCTGTAAAATTAATAAAAGGTAGCATCATCCCCAACATGGCTTTTTTAAAAAGACCTGAAACATTTCAGGAAAGGATGATCAAAGGTTTGTTAGAGAAAATTAGCATCACCCAATGAAAATTCATAAAGTATGACTTTTTTCATGAGGGAAAGATCACGCCAGGTATCTCTAAGAAAGTCCAAATAAGAAGTAAAAGATGCTATAGATATCTTTATAAGAACATCAGACAATACTTATAATATTTAAATTTAGATTCAACAGCTAGTTTCTGCACACATATACAGGTATAAGAAATAAGCTTCATTTATTATGATTTTGTTTCAGGTTCACAGTTGTACTCTAAATCTGCAAAGACATGCTGGTGGGTGTGCCAGAGAGCCATCTACTGTCATTTTCATCTCAGCCAATGGACAGGAAAAAGGAAGTAAAAAAATAAACACTGAATATGAAGAGGAAATATGTCAGAGTGAGAAAGCAGTGGCATCAGAGAGTAACACTTCATGTAGGCATGTAACAGAACAAAAAGGTCCTACTCCCTCTCCATTGCCCCAAAGTTCATCTGCAAACTTGGATAGTGGAACAAAGGGCAGAAAGGTACAAAGCAAGAGAGGTGGCAGAAAAAAGGCACCCGTTTTCTGTGATCCACCTTTAACTAAGGAGTCTCTTAAGGTAAGATATGATTGGTTTATTCTTTGTCTGTTAAATAAACAGCCCCAGATGAATTGAAACAGTAGCCATTCTATTTTGTCTTTTTAAAGCTGGAGATTACAAGCATGGAGCAGTGATGTCAAATAAGAAACTAATTACTGTGTATGAGATTCTTAAAAACTTTTATTCTTTTTCAGAATGTGTCCAGTGTATGTGCAATTGTGTTTGGTTACTATAAGGTATATGCAACAACTATGGGCCGCAATCTTTCTTTGAATAACATGGTCACTATTGATGTATCAACCGCAGTGAAGGAAGCGCATTTGCACCAGCGGTTGTTGAGACAGGTACTAGTTGGTTTCTTTTCTGTGACAAGTTGGTTTTTGTGTAACAGCCTACACTTTTCAAATGACTAAATACCATTACATGTAGTTCCACACCCAGCAGGTACATTGTGGGATAGTCTTGAATTCAATGAACATTTTAGTTATCAAAATTGACCTATGTCATTTCAGTGAATTTGTAACATGATTTTTAACTTTTTCTATAAAGTAGCATTTTCTTTTTATTTTGGTTGTAAACTTTGTTTTGTGTATGTATGATTGTAAATTTATGTCACCATCTATTTCAGGTCTATAATTCAATTCTACCAGAACTTCCTATGTCCAACCTGTATGTGATGGAAACTCAAAATTATGTGTATAAAACCTTAAAACGAATAAAACCTCAAATTCACATGCAACTTGTGGAGTGCACGCTCAAAACTGTATTAAGTCAACAACAAAGACATTCAGAACATCCCGTCTACTTTGAATCTATACCAGGGCTGGTTAACATGAGATTTGGACTTGTCCAGGATGGTGTACGCATGCCTTGCAAAACTATAGTCGAGGAGATATATAATGAAGATTTGACAGATACAGGGATTAAAATACCAAACTTTATTTATACAGAGTATAAAAACATGAAAGACATTGACAGAGAATTAATGGGATCTTGCATTCTTTTGGGTGCTGCATTTTGGAAACATGGCCTGGAGTTAGAGAAGGGGCCTTCCTACTCACTCATATGATTTTCTTTGGTGGAAAGAGTTGTACATACCTTGCTGATGAATCCTACTTCATGCATGATGTGCATGTGTGACAGATGCATCATTTCTGGATCTTTTGTTCATGTTTTACAATCATGTAAATTAAAGATACTCTGTATCTCTGTATTTTCTACCTGGTGAATCATTGCTCTTTCTCTGCACTAAGATTTGATGTTTTATTCCATTTTAGATTTAATAATTTAGTTTTAAATGACTGACCTGTCATTTAGACTATGAGGCCCATATCAACATTTACCCCTTCAGTTCATATTAATATCACCTTTGCAGTTTGCTTACAAAATAAATTTTGATTTTTTGTTTGGGGCTTCTGTAATAGTTTCCTTATTTCTTGCTATATAGTATGTACGTATGTGCATGTACCTTGGTGAGATAAAAGAATTTGACAAAGGTCTGATTATAATTAAACTTTATTGTAATATTAATGATGAAGCTATAAAACCAACATTTGGGGCATGATTTGAAGAAAATAAAAACATCTGACACTATCACAAGCCAATTTTCTCCTGAAATGGCAAAATTATACACTTCTAAAATTTACAAGCTAAACCATCACTTAAAGGCGTTTCCATGCCTGTTAAAAGTAACATAAAAAGTACACGTGGCAAATCCCAAGCAATTTCTCTCGTAAATCCAAAGCAGTCAAAGTGAAAGGTTATGTTTCGTCACCTAAACGTTGCGTGTGTTGCTGAGGAGTGACGGGGGTTGGAGCATACATAACAGGGGGAGTGGTCCCTGGCATCTGCTGAGAATAACTCCCTGTTCTTCCAGCCAGTGAACCCCCAAGACTGGAATAACTGACGCCAAGTCTGGCTGGGGAGCCGTTGATGGGGGCATGGAGGTCTGCCTGACTGTCAAAAATAAATAAAAAATTATTTAAAAAGTGACCTCTGTGTTCAGTTGCTCACAGTGGTTTCAAGTTTTTTTTTTTCAAAATATCTTTGAGAAGAACAAGTAAGCATACAGTAATGTACACATACATACTGTTCACACTTCAAAGTTATAAATAATTGCTACACCAGACTCTTTGTGTTTACTCTTTTGCCTTGCAGGAATACTTAGACAAAAAAGATTGATGTGTCTGAACATGGAACCCATTTCACTTACTTTCCACCTGTGCTCTTTGACAAATCCTCCTCACTGTCATACCTTCTTGGGTTATCAAAGAAGTAGGCACGGGGGCTGAGACCTTCCACTGATGCATCAGTCAACAGCTGCAAAGATTACATACACAGGTGCACCACATTCACTCCTACTTTTTTTAAAGCAGTGCAAGATAAATTTTCATGACATCTGGACAGGTAAAACTAATGAACTAAGGTTACTTTAATATTAAAATATTACTCCATAATATGACCATAAAGAAGCAAAGAAAATATTTTCTATAATTTTTTGGTTACAGATTTGTCAACTTTAAAGTTAGTTCATGAATGAAGGTAGTTTAAAACTGACACTGTTCTTAAACTACTTGTACATCAATAGAAAGAATACTCACGGGTGTAGTTTGGGGTCGCTTAACACGGAAAAACATTACCACTACAAATGTTGGTAAAATCTCCCACACAAAGAGAACAATACCAAAAGACAAGTATGCATATCCATTGGAAAGGTTCACTTGATCTGCCTGTTAAATTATAAAGTAGTACAGTTACTGTCTCAGGAGGGTACACTGATTTAAAAAAAGACTTCCACTGGCAATGTCAACTAAATATAAAATCAAGTGTGTGTGAGTATTCATACTCAGATGACACTGATAAATTATGTAAAAATAATTTGATTATACTGATTAACCTATCATGATGTAAATAACAGTAAACAGACAGCAGTGAGGAACTATTTTTAAGCAACATAATTATGATACCATAATAATTTAAAATCATGTAATTCAAAATTTCTAAAAAATTGTGTCTTATTAAAGTAGGTTTTAAAACTATTTTTCTTTAAAATTTAGAACTGAAGTTTAGGTGATAGGTTGTTGATTCAGCTGCGTATCAGAGATATTTTCGGATAGTCTTCCAAATTATCTTTATTTATCCATCCTCCAATTTTGACGGTCTTCTGACAGAAAAAATTAGATGCCCGTCAATGTAAACTTGAAAAATTCTGACCATCTTCTGGAAGACTCAGAAGACGGCCTGTAACGAATAATGCAACATTTCTCTTTGCAGTAACTTACCTCATCTGAAACATTGACCCAGTCATAGCCAAACCCAGGCATCTTTTCTATATTACATATTGCAATGACATTATACACAACTCTAGAAGTAAACAACACAACAATCACCACACAGGCTGCCATTGCTTGCCACTTGCTGGTACCCTGAAATACAAAGTACATGAATATACACTTAACAAAATATCTCAGTGAACATTTCTTCACATTTACTTTTTTTCACCAACAGATGTTTCCCAGGAATGAAAAATGTCCACTGTCATTACCGTAAGTTTCCACTTGATTTAAAAATTAGAGGCTATTTTTGTTCCAGTCACCTACTTAAAAGAGTAAAGCAGAAATCAGACAGTCAAAAGATCATTTACAAAGAAATCTGCAGAGACTATAAAAATATAAAAAACAACTGTGAAATCACAAACTCCGTTATCATCTCCCTCAACTTGATGCTCCTGCCCAACAAGACTATGACATTATGTTCACCTTTGGTCACCTGTGAGGACCTGAATGTTGGGTGTCCCCCCCACCCCACCCCAAAGATCCCAGGGTTACATGGAGCCACCTTTCTCATGAAAATGCCATTTTATCTCAAAGCAGTAAAATCCAGTGTCAGGAACAACCATAAAGAGGTTTTGAGATACAAATAATAATAATAATAATAATAATAATAATAATAATAATATGCTTTTAAATAACAAAGCAGATTAACCAACTTTTCAGTTCAGTAAATAACTTACCTTAGCTTCAAGGACCAGGTTAGCTGATGACATCCTGGAGATTTTGTATATACACACAGCCAAGGCAATGGCAAAAATGAGGAATAAAGCTTCATTTATGATCACACGAGCAAGGATGATATCTGTATAGTCAATGTTTTGATCAAGTTCATCATTTTTTGTTAAAACTGCTGCAACAACATTTGTAGTAATGAAGACTATCACTGCCACAATGACTGCAGCCCACAATGGCTTCCTAAAACAAACAAAATATATTATCACAGTGACACTGCAATCACTACAAAAAAACTTTAATATGTAATCTTATTTTGTATCTTACTATTTCAATTTTATCTCAGGCATCTATTATATAAATATATCAGTGGACATAACAACAGAGGACATCATTATTTTTGAGACCCACACAAAAATTATTCCACATTATAAGATTCTTCATTTTTGTAAAGAACATCATATGATAGATGCAGACTTACTTGTATCTGTTTGGTTCATAGCGTGCTCTACACTTGAAGCAAACCTGAAAGACATGTCAACAAATGCTTAGTTTAATAGAGAAGAGCATGTTCTGGAGGGGGGGAATTATTGGGTTACAAGTATATACTACTTTATCAACCTTACCTTTAAGAATTTGCAAAGGTTTCAAGCAAACACCAACAAAAAATAAAGAAATGAATAAAAAACTGTTAGTCCCCTTCCCCTTGTCTACAGCAGTTTCTATACTGGTACAGGTACTAGTACATGAGTACTTATGGTGAACATAGCCTGTACTACAGGGTGGTAAACAATATCTGTCCAGTGGTTTCAACTACGAAACTAAGCAAAAGAAGGAGAGCATCTTTCTTTGTGATTCAGCATAANGCAGGAAGATTAAAGGTGAGAACTACATATCCCAAATCGGCAATTTTAATCAACTCTCCGAACAAAATTGTAGGCATTTATAGTTTATTTAATTTTTTTTTTCTCTTCCCCCCCCCCCCCCCCCAAATTATTTATTTATTTAATTTTTTTTTTTTATTCCGGATCATTTGAAACTGACGCGCATTGTCACATTTCAAGAGAAACGCGGCCACAACAATCAGCACTTTTATGTTATCCGTATTGTTCCCTTTTTTTTCCCTCTTTTTTTTTTTTACATTTTTTTTTTTTTTTTTTTTTTTTTTTTTTAGCGTGGGGGGGGGGTAAAAACTTTGTCAGACAAATGGGAATATCACCCACAACCTAATAGTTGTTTGTTTTTTTAAACTTCCATTAAGGCACTTACCTTTATAATTAAAAACAACACAAATCTTGAAGGTTTTTATTCAACTGATCAATGAAAGAAACTTTTAATCAAAACTAAATCTTACACAATTCTTGCCAGCTATTCAAACACCTGCACTTCCTTCCTGATGTCTATAATTACCTGTAATTATTTTTTAATTACTCTTCATAATTTTTGGAAATTCACAAGATGGAAAACATTAATATATCCATTGATAAGTTAGTTTATACGTTTGACTAACACTAGAAGAAATCGATTTCATTTAAATCTGTCCTTATATAATAGTCACTCTCAGTAGCATTTGAAATTGTCTTGAAATTCTATGATCCTTGCTTATTGTTCACAAATTGATGTGTAGTTTCTGCGAGTCCTTCATTGGGATTTTTCTTCTGTCAACTTTGTGAACACATTTGTCCCTTCAACCTAAAAGATAAAAATAGGTATTGAAAGTAAATAATATAGTGTATCACCACCCTTAATCTGCTAAGCAGCACTACATTCATTTCCGAGAAGATTAAAAATAGAATGAGAGGAGCATATTCTTTACAACCATTCACAGACTTGTCAAAGTCAGGATTATTTTTTACGAAATGCCTCTGTGTGCATGTGTCTTTGTTTCTATGACTAAATAATACAAACCTGATATTTTTTAAAAGTTTTTTTTACTTGTTTCTCAAATAATTCTATTTGCATCAGAGGGCAAAATATTTTTTTTAGTTGCTTTGTGGCCACTATTAAAAACATTTTAGAAAAATAGTATAGGGGAATTTGATGCTCTTTGTGAAAGTGCAATAAAATGTATATTCTCAATGTCTGGTTAATGTATATAAACTAAGGCATATGAGTTCTACTTGCATTATTATGATTAAGACTGAACCATTGCAAAATTGCAAACAGCAATATCAAAAACTATTCTGTCAAGTATTCACAAGATTCCTGTTAACCTCTTTTACGAAGACTGAACCATGTTGGAAAGCACACAGCAACAAAATTCATGATAAGAGTATGTTTCACTTTAGAATAATCACATGGCTTTCTATCATGACTTCAATTTCACTTAATGGTATCATAGTATTCTAAATATGCACAACTATTGTTGAGTTTATTGCTAACAGCAGAATAACACCTGGAAACAACAGGAATTGATATGAGTAAATATGCAGAATCAAATTGTGCCATTAGGCAATTGCCCACCTCTAGAGGCACAGGGCTAGAAAGAGAGATAATTTTTTTTTTTCGGGCACTTGCTCGTTTTTGGACCCTGCTTGGCTGAAGTAGAACAGGCTTAAAATAATTTGGCATAGACTTTAAATGTTCATTTACATGTAGAGTTGGCAACACTGCAGATAGTTTTTTAATTCAGTCCATGATGATCTGTTAATTTACAGAGGGCATTTATAAAAGTCAAATGGTCTGGAGTAAAATGCCCCCCCCCCCTCTCCCATAAAAACAAATGCTTAAGTGCAGGGGTGCTTGGTTCTGAGATTAAAAAAAGTTATTGTTGTTATCAACTGAAAGGAAAACAGAAGAAAAACTTATTGTCTTAAATACAGCCCCCTTCCCTGAAATATAAATGGTCTTGCTTTAAATCAAGCAAACATTCACTCACAGACCAAGTTTGAAAATTCCATAACAGATTGAATGCCACAATTAGAAACAAAGTAACAAACTAGCGTGGGAAAGTGACAGGCAATGTAACTCGATCTATATGCTAACAGACGTTCAAGTACTTGCAGCAGTCCCCCAAACTTATATAAACCTCTCATTTAAAATGTTTATCAAAACAAGTTATGTGGTGACTGTGATAATTGTTTCTGCTATTGCAATAGATCAGTTTAGAAATCACGAATTTTATCTTTTTTCATAAAACCTTCAACCTCTGACCAACGAGGTCACAGCAAATTTTGACGCAAGTGATGGCCACAGATCTCAGAATATTTGAATGGCATCAAGTTTTATGTAAAAACCTACTGCTCAGTCACCACACAAATACATTTAGAAGAGAGATAGAAATCAAAGTTTTTCGTTATATGGCGATGGGGGAATACTGCAAAAATTAAACTTTACGTCCACACATGAGTAACCACAATGTATCCTAACCAACGATATAGATACTAAACGTTCCAGTTTACTAAATTGCATCATACCTTTCACGAGTTGCCTTGAACAGCCAAATGTTTCGGTAGAGCAGCGCCGATTTTGTCCATGCGGTACTGGGACATCTTACAAGAAAAGCATATTTTGATCTAAAAACTTTAAAAGTGCCCCCTGTACAATTTCGCACAAGTTTTGTTTAGCAACAATTACTCCTTGCTTTCACTATGACAAGAAATTATCTTCCATCGCCGTGATACTGTATTCAACACGGATAATCGATGTAAACACGTCTAACGCAGGTGCCCGCTCAACTCCAACTGACGGACGCAGCTTCAACACGTGAACTTCAGTGTAACAACAGTGCATTGTGGGAAACACATTACGTCAATACGTTAAAAATAGAACAATTTAGGTAAATAAACAAGTTAGACCTTTCAGTGTGAAATTTACAATGCTATGCTGTAAAAAA